AGTCGGAGCTGGAAGATTCCGATCATTTATGAATCTCGAAACGACAGAAAATTTGTATTGTTTATATTTCATTATTCGAAATGATAAACTTCAAAATCTAAAATTTATTTTTTTACAATATATTTCATCCTATTGTCAAGGCTAAATTTTTCACCGGAAGTGTATCAAAAATTGATAAGATTTACGGTGATCTAATTATGACAATTCAATGCATCTCGTGATATAACGCAGATATAAACACAACTGATATTGCATAACTAATAATTGAGTCAAATAACTAAATTATGTGTTATATTTTACATATTTCTTCAATTTTGTAATAAATGGATGTTTAACACTAATTTTTTAAGGACTTCGACTTTAGCATCACATAAATATGTTATTTTCTATATTAAAACGTAATTTTGGTGGTCTTAGAATAGAAAAATATGCAATATTCGTGGAGATAATGAGGGTTCTTAAACATGTTCTTAAAAATAAATAAAATAATACAAATCTTTATTCAATCTTTTGATATTGTTGGTCCTCTCTTTGTGAAAATACTTAACTTCAAAGAGTATTATGTTTTACCTAGTGAGGACCTTAAGTTTGCAAAAACATAATAAAAGTAAAATAAAAAAGATCGGATTTATCACAAAACTTTGAGTATTATAGGATTTAATATATTTTCTTAGTAGATTATATGATTTAGTTTCTTAAAATCTAAAGTATTTCTTGAGGAAAATATAAATTGAAATTCAAAAAGTAAAAAAAATGTAAACAAATCAAATTTTAAATGGACCAAATGTTGATTTTTCATTCGTTTTCTCATTATCGAAAAAAATTTGGAAAGCTAAGAAGTCAATAACAAGTTATATAATACAACAAAAACCCACATCGGATATGTTTTCATCAAATAGTCTCCTAGATTTGTTATGAAATTAAAATATCATGATATTTTAAGGGCTTTTGATTTCAATATTAGAATTATTCAGTTATGTCGTGCTAATATCAATTACTTTATACAATTAATCGTTTACAAGCTGCAAAAATCGAACAATAATTTGACTTTGTAAAAAAAGTGCGTCATTTTTATTCGTTATACTTACAAAATGTAAACATTACGAGAAACATTTACATTTGTAAATGTAACAAGTAAAGTTGTATCGCATAATTTGACTTTGTAAAAAAAGTGCGTCATTTTTATTCGTTATACTTACAAAATGTAAACATTACGAGAAACATTTACATTTGTAAATGTAACAAGTAAATACATCAGATTTAAATTGTAAATGTCGTTTATCTCTCTCATCTCCTTTTTAAAAGGTATTACATACATACGAACGCATGGGTCACTCAATAATTAGCGTGATAATAATTGAGGATAGACTGTAATCGTAATTTTATTTTTGGACTTATATTTCGACATTTTGAAGTCGCTTGAAAGTCTTGCAAATGATTAAATTTGGAAAATTTGACCTAAGTCTGCATTATTTTGATGAATTAAACAATTCTATAAATCTGTTTTCCTAAAAATTTAAAAAGATATAATTTCAATTTCCTTAAATTTATGTAATTCATATATCACCAAAATATTTGGACTGCATTTCGTTTGTCTGCACCTAATTAAAGTCTAAATACCAATTAATTTTGGAGTTGCATTGCTTTTAATGTAAAAATGCACGTTTAGAAAAAGACGATAACGATTAAATTACAAAATCGATAACGACGACGATTAAATTACAAAATCGATAACCTCTCCTCAAATTTCGTTGATATAGAATATATAGTTTATTTCTATCACTTTTCATTTCAGAGTTAATAACGAAACGGTTTTACATCATGATGAAAAAAGTATTTATATACCAATAGAGGTATTATCACAAAATTTATTGTTTTCATAAAAAATGAATATTCAATGGTTTTTGGATTTTTGTAAAGTTCTCAAATTATGAAAGCTTTGATTAATTTTTAAATTGTAATTTAAACTCTACATGTGCTTTTTGATAAAATATTTCCATTCAGGATAATTTAGAATAAAAATCATTTATTTATAGAATCTGTCTCGGCTTTCAAGGAATAAACCTCATAAACTCTAATACCTTACAAATCTATATATCCTGAATCAGGATGTCAATTCGGAAAATTGTTTTCATTTTAGGAGAATATAATTTTCCTTTTGGAAAATTTAAAAAGTGAGACGCGCAGGATTCGAACTTTTTTAAAAGTTGATTTAAATATATTCTAGTGTGGATTCTAAGGATAATATCATATTTAAAATAAGAATATACTAGTTTATGTGGTATAATTTTTTTCGATAAATTTGAGAGCATGTACGTTTAGGACATCAAAAGTGTCAATTCGCTCAGCGAAAGCTGAGCTAGCTTCGTTCTCGAAAGAATAGGGAAGGAGTGAAAGAGAGTGATACAGATGTTGACACATTCTAGGGTTGCAAATTTGGAAGAACAGCATAAATTTGGAAGAGAAAAAAATTCATTTTTGGAAGATTTTCTGGAAGTTCAAAGATTATATAAATATTCATTTATTGTTAAGATTTATATGATATGTAATGCTTGTTCATAAGATAAATATGCTTGTATGATAAATAATTAAATTATTTCTATAATCACTATATCTAACTTTAATTGATATTGATAAAATTTACTATATTTCGAAAGGTATTGAATATTCTTTATAATGCAAAAGAAAAGGAAGAAATCAAAACAATTTCATTTACAAATGTTTATATAATTGGTAATCTAAAGAGTGAAAACATAATATTAAAGATATAAGATGCAATTCCTCCACTGTGGTTTTCAATCTCTTCTTAGGAAGCAAAATAAGATTCCAAATTTTGGGAATCTTTCTTTCAATCAACTATAATGTGTACATGAAATATTGTGAATGACCTCTTTATAGCATGCATGAAATAGTGAATTTTTATTTACTTCCAGATCAAGAAAAAAATGTAAACAATTCAAATTAACTTCCAAAAACTTTTTCCTTTATTCAATTTTTTGATACCAAATATGTTCAATATACTATTTTATGCATTTTTATTAAAAATTATTTTACAGCTTCAAAAAACTTCTTCTTGAATTCAATTTTTTAAGATGAAATGCTGCAGAATATCGTTTCTAAATGCACTTTAAAACATATTTTAATAACTTCCAAAAAGTGAACGTTACTTCCAGCCCTTGAATTTTCTCCAATTCTCTCTCAAATTTAATAAGCCAAGAATTTTGGAAACTTCCAAAGGAAATTTCCAGACAACGATTAGGTCATTAGCATTGCTAATTCTTAAAGATGCTCAAATCATGGTTTAAATGGCTCAGTATATATTATCGTATGTATTGGCTGTTATGAAAGACACCGAAAAAATTCCAAAAAAGTTCTGGATTTCAAAATGTAAAGTAAAAAAATAATTTTTTTATAATCGTCTTTTAGAAGTTGTGTTTTTTTGAGATTGGAAACTTCTCACCTTTTTTCCAAATTTGCAACCCTACACATTCATATCATTTCAACAAATTTTGATCAAATTGAAATTCAATGAAATTCAATTCACTTCATATCCTTCAGTCAGTACATTGACATCCTTCTACATCACAATGATAACTCGTGCATCAATAGTTCTACAACTAACTCAGAAAAAACAAGATTTTTCCTTCCAGCTTACAGCTTTTAAAAAGTTTCGATGATAAAAATCACTCTACTCTTGTTTATCGATATGTTGTGATAGTAGGTAAACGTATTCTTATCGATATTAATAAAAATATTTTTACGAAAATCTGAACCAATTACAGAGTTATTCATAAAGTTTATGATAACTGTAATTACTTCATCTTTGTTTTATATTTGAATAAACAATTTAATTTAATTTGCATAATTTTTTTTTAGTTGAAAGACAGGAAACTTAGTTGAGTTTGTATTATTTTTATCGTTCAATTCATTGTATATGTGAGTGATCCAGATATTTAAGATATTTAGAAAAATTTTATTAATTTGATTAACAAATTTTAATCAAAATAGCAAAAATCTATTTGATAGCTGTAAGCAAACAATAATTTCTATTTCAACCAAAATCACTTATTTTCATCTAAACGTATAAAATTGTCAATTTTATGAGAATAAATTTAAAATCTCATGAAATATAAAGGAGAGTAATATTTTTCATTTTTTTTTCTTTCTCTCAAATATTTTCTATTGGGAATTTTCTTGTTATCAAAAAATAATTTTAATATTTGTTTATTTCATTACATACAATAAAATTTTAAAAACTCTATTTCTTCACAAGAAACTTTTTTTCCTTCATATGAAGAAACATTTTGTTCTCCATTTGATGCTGAGTCTAAATCTCGATTTTTGAATTTTCTTCTTTCCAAATTTCTTTTTTCCAAATTAGAAGTTTAATTCAAATTTTCAATAGTTTATATATTTTCTCAAACCGTCTTAGATTTTCTCACTTTTTAGGGATTTTCTCTCAAAATATACAAAAATAGTAATACCAATACATGTGTCTAATATACTTTAAAACCATCGTGATAAAATTCAAAAACGAAGAGTTCTTCTCTCCAAATTTTTTTCAAAATCAAAAAAATGAGATAAAAAAGTACGTTTGGAAAATTCATTTTTTGCATTTTAGGAATTTTCTCACTTTTCTTCCAAATTGACATCCTTAGTCCTGATCAAATTTATAAGCTTATAGACAAATGTCAAAATTTTGAATTTCGTAATTTTGTTACTCACATGAACCAGTGTTGAATTTGAAGCTTCTTAATTCTATACTAATATTCTCAGGAACTTTTACTGCATGATTACTAAGTTTGATTTAAAATTTTCAATTTGTTTCATAAATTTTATGATTTTTATCAACGAAAAATGCATTATTTTGATATAAAAGGGTTTCTCTTTCTTTCTTTGTTTTCACTTGTCTCATTTTCCTTACTTTGTCAATTCTCAAATCAAAATATGTTTGTAGAACATGTAAAAGAAACGCATTTTTATTCTAGAATATAGTCTATTTACTGAAGATACTTATCAAGATGTTCATGTAACTTCTGAGAAAATGCATTGAAATCAACACCACCCATAACGTTGCAGAAAGAAACGGATGGGAACTTTTCAATTCCAGCGAATTTGAAGCATGTTGTGACTGTCCACCAGACTTGTTCAGCACCATCTGCATGGAAGCTGTTTAAAGCAGCCTCTGGAGTGCCGAATGTGCCGGACATGATGACATGCTTTCCTGGCTTCTTGTCCTTCTGCATGTTGTAAAGGCCCAAAACGGCATCAAAGTACTGCTTGGCTGGCCATGGAAGGCTCATGTTCCAAACTGGGGTCTGGAAGAAGATGACATCAGCCCAGTTGAACTTCTCGACTTCCTCTTCTGCCTTGTAGCCCTGTGGCATGTGTGTGATCTTGACTTCGTGTCCTTTTGATTGAAGGTACTTGGCAGCTTCTTCAGCAAGGGAGTTGTTGAGTTTGCCATTGCTTGGAACCTGGGCAAAGCCAGCGTCGAAGTACTTTAGCGTTCTTCAAGCTCATGAAGAAAAATGAAGTGATAGTTTTTGATCGCGAGGTATTCAATTCTATAGTTGGCTGGTGATCACTCTATCTACATATATGATAAGGAACAAGTATATTTCGGTGATTGCTTAACCAATTCAAAAAATAAAATTGAGAGCTTTTATCTATTCAAACCGTAATCCGACTGATTTGACTGCAAAAACTTGTTGAAAGAAAAATGTAACAATGGAAAAACATTAAAAACTATGTAACATACAAAGAAATCCATGCGCTAAGTTTTATTGCTGAAAAATTTTTGAAATTGATCCTTACATTGTGGCCTTACTCTTTTAATTAGCCTCATCGTCTTTAAAAACTTAAATAAGATTACTAATATTAGTTGTTTATACTAAAACTTTATCAAGATGAGCATGAAGTTTGGAAACAGCTTCATCAAATTTGAAGCTTGGGTTAAGAACATTGTTAACTGTAACAATTGGGAGCTTTCCAATTCCACAGAAGAAGAAATTCTGGTATAATGTCCACCAAACTTGATCAGCTCCTAATCCTTGATAGGCAGATTTTGGATCTACCATTGTTTCTTCAGTAGCTGCGAATGTAGCAGAAACCTTCTTACCATCCTTCTTGTCCGGATTCATCATGTAAGCGCTAAGGACGGAGTCAATGTATGTTTTGGCTGGACCTGGAAGGCCAAGCCACCATGTTGGTGTTTGGACAATGATAACATCAGCCCAGTTGAATTTGGCAACTTCCTCTTCAACCTTGTATCCCTGTTCCATGTGTGTAATTTTAGTCTCATGGCCCTTTCCTTGGAGGTACTTCTCCATATCATTGGCAAGGGCCTCATTGAGCTTGCCCTTAGCCATTGGAGGCTGATTATATCCTGCATTAAGGATGAGAACCTTAGCGTCCTTTAAACTCATCTTGGAAAGTGATATCACCAATCAAATTCAATTGTTTCAATGTAAAAAATTTTTATTTCGGATTTTACTTTGATTTTCCGTCTTGATACGAATTATTTACAGGAATTGATAATTAATGGAAAAAAAGTGATATCGCTCGTCATGCGAGAAATAGTTGTTTTTTCCTATGTAGAAACCGTGCTGGTACAATAGGTAAACATCATGCTTTCCCTACCGAGGTTAAAAAAAATTTTGGGGCTTGAAAAAATTGAAAAGTGATTTTTTTTCGACTTACCTTACAAAATGCAGTTAGTCGAGAAGGTAATAATACTATCATAAGACGAGCAATGACTCAAATATCATGATTCCTTGAAGAATTTATGATAACATCATTTATTTGTAATGAGAAGAATTTAATAATATGAATATAATCACCAAAAGACTGGAGGAAAATGTGTTTTTCAAAGAGTAGTTTAAAAGATGTATAAATTATCAAGAATTAAGGTATTTGAATAATATCAACAACCGATGTTTTACAGATTCTTCGTGAATCTACTGATTAAAGAGTTTTCACATCGTGTTACACATGAACTTATGAAGGAATTAAATGAATATAATTCTGAATGTAATTGAAATTAGAGAATAGCTGTTTTCTAATGATTTAATAGCTGACATTAAATGATATTACATGGATATTTACTATTTAAAGATCTGAAAAACTGTTTTAAAATCGAAAATTATTTTCAGTATAAATGAAAATTGAATATTACTGTATAAAATGATGATTAATATGATTTATGCATATATCGGATATGTTTCACAAAATATGAACCGTATGATGAAATGTTGATTTTTTGATTCAAAAATATTTTTCAAATTAATATTATTGAGATATGATAAGGTAATATAAATATAGTAAAATTTTTCGTTTTTAAATTATTGAGGGCACTTAAAAAATAAAAATCAAATTTTGCTTGCAGTAATATAACGATCCAAACCATCATGAATAAAAATCTATCGAAAATTTATGAGACCTTCAAAAATTCAATGCTTTGGCTTTTCAATTTCTCTAAAATTTCATTAACGGCGTAAAAAAGTATATCAGCTTATTTGATTTTTAATAGTAATGTGCAGCATTGTAATTAAAAATCTTTTTTCTAATTCAATTATTAATATTAATTATTTATATCTTACATTAATAATAAACAAGAAATTTCATCTTTGGTTGAAATTGATACGCAAGTCTCAAAATTTGTTTAGACTTTTGTTTCATAATTTCAATACAATCCAAATAAAAGTCCTTAATTTTAATGTTTTTATATTTCCTTTTTCTCCATATATGCAAATTATTCTTCCGAAGTTAACTTTTAACTTTTCAAATTTTGAAAACCATACGTTATATACATTTGCATTGTGAATTTTTTTCCTTGATAAAGATGACTCAATTTGCGTATACATTATGTTCCTTTGATATATATTTTGATTATTTTTTGAATTGAATTTTTTATAATTCTAACTGAATTTCTTCTCAATTTATTTGCTCGAACATTTTTTCAATATGCACTGTAACCTTCCAACAATCCATGCTTCTCAGGAAGTTGTTCTTCCCTCACAGATCGGACATTACCAAATCATTAAGAAGATCGGAAAGGGAGGATTTGCTGTTGTAGTTTTGGCATTAGATTTAAAGACACAGCAAAAAGTTGCAATTAAGATTATCCAAAGGAAGCTCATGGATACCAATGAGAATATGAAGTATTTGGAAAGTGAATTGCGCTTGCATTCTGAACTTGATCATCCAAATATTGTAAAAATCTTTGATGTCCTATATGAAGAGGAATTTATCGCCATTATCATGGAGTATTGCAGTAATGGTGATATGTTCGAACACATCCAATGCCACACCATGTTCACATTTACAGAACAGCTTGAAATTGCAAATCAACTTATCGATGCATTGAACTACATGCACAAGAAGGGAATATACCACAGAGACATCAAACCCGAGAATATTCTCTTCGATTCCAACTTCAGACCAAAGATCATTGACTTTGGAATGTCAGTTGAAGAAGATTTTTGCGGACACTCAATTGTCGGAACCCCAATTTACATGGCACCAGAGACATTCACAAACCAGTGCTACGATGTCAAGAAGATCGATATCTGGTCATTAGGAGTCACTTTACACATGCTTTCTGCTTATGCCTATCCATGGAACACTTGTTCTCCAGCCCAATACATCAAGAATGCAAAGCAAGGCTTAGTTGAAGTTATTGTAGCTGCTCCAGGTGTTATGGGCGATTTGATCAAGATGATGCTTGTTCCTGATCCAAAGGAGAGAGCATCATATGAAGAACTCATCGTTTTCCTCAACAACACACGCCAGCACCAGATTTCAAAGCAGAAATGCAACATTCCAAAGATTTCTGCTTCTCAGAAGTTTTCTTTCAAGAAGAAATTAGACATCAGTACTGAAAACTTATTGTTTAGAGCAAGAAAGACAGCCAGAACAAGGATGAGCAAGATCTTGCCTTCCTTGAATAACCAGATATACCTCCATTAATATATTATTGTTTGTATTTTATAAAAAACGTTATACATCGAAACTTTCAAGATTTTAGTTTATTCTTTTGAGAGGTTTTTATATTCAAAAATGAACGATGAAAACAGATATCAGTAAAGAGAAACTCATAAAAATCACTTTTCCTTACTAAGAATATCTATATCATTAGCTGATGCATCTAAATTTGCAATTTTTCAATGGGCGTATTTATCACCTTAACTGATCGTCCATGGATAATTCCATTTGGTTGATGAAACACAACTTATTATATTGTATAGTAGCTATTATATAAAAATAGAGTGTGATTAATCAATTTCTTTCGGTTCTCATCAAATTTTTTGTTGAATATCGTAATTTAAATATAATATTCGTAAAAAGAAAACTATAGATAGTAATGTTTTAAATGAGATATATAGAAATAAAGGGCAATATTCTATTGAATTTTAAATAACAAAGTAAAATCTAAAAAACCTCAAACAATACTTGTATAAAGGAGGATGTCTCCCCAAATGAATTGGAATGGCAGCCAAAGAAGTGCAGACCACATAAATGCGATTCTTGGACCGATCATGTCATCAGAATCGGGTAATTGGTGGAGGGCAATGAGAGATGTTGGACTAACAGACATAAGGACAACACATCTGGACTGTTCTGTAGTAACTTTAAATAATCTGCAAAATCCGATAATTAAAAGTGGTAATATTACGTAATTAACACATAATACAATCGGTATGAAGTTGTGCCATCTCCACATGTTGATTCCTCCAACCATTGCACCAATTCCGAAAATCATTGAACCGCTTACACATTTTGAAAGGTCTGTAATGAAGTTTGTCATCAAATCTGGCATTTTAACACCAATACCAGCCCAAATAAAGCCAAGAATAGTGCAAATTGTGTTTGGATTTACCCAAGCGAAAATAATTGTCTTTTTAAGGGTTGTTGTCTTCTTTTCAGTTGATTCTGGCCTTACATCTTCTGGATCTGGTACAGATGGCTGATCATCTTTGATTTCATTTGGATTTCCATCTTTTGAAATTTCATCAGGTTCTCCTTCAACTCCTTCGACACCATCTTGCTCAGGAAGCTCATCATCTTCATCTGATGGTACTTTTTTGACGGCATCAGAATCTTCTTCCTCTTCTTCTGGTCCATTTAAGACAAACAAAAGTATTTTGAGAATTGGGATGTAAATGAACTCTTCAGCGAGTAGGAACATAATAGCAATTACGTTATATTGTTTCGGATATATAACATCGAGAATTTGATAAATGAAAATTGTGCACTCTTGGAAACAGAAGGATGTTACGTATTGAATGTAGGTTAGAACACGAGATTCAGCCTTTTTAATAAACGCTGCAGCTAAAATAGCGAGATGAATTATTAATTGAGAAATAAAAATTGGGAAAAATGGCTTCCAATTAGCCATTGAATACTTTGTATTGCCTATTAAATTAAACATCATTGCAGCAAAGCAAGAAAGCCTTACCACTTCATATAATGGCCAAATTTCTTGAGGAACAAAGACTTTAAACATTGCAAGTATGAATCCAACGAGAACTATTGTGTAAAGAGCAGCTTGGATTTGGAATAATTCCTTAATTGTAAAAGCCATTCTATAGCGAAATTTCTTAAAAATCGTCACTTTTTAAATTTGAGACTAAACGATGACCCTTTCAAATGATTGAACCCATTTGAAAAATCATTAATGGTTCATGCAAATACATTACTTATTCCATTAAAAGTATACACATATAAGAAAAACTCTTAATCTTTTACCACAATAATTTAGGAGTTCAAAATATATAATGATCTGGTTTTACTATTCACAAAAACAGCATATCACTACATAAGGAATCCAAATATTGCTGTGAACAAGAAGATTAACAATCATGAATCTAGATTGCATTACATAATAGCCGTATTGAATATTTTGAACATGAAAGTATAATGACTTAATCCTAGACATCTAAATAATTAAATCAAAATAAAAACAAAATTTATATTTACAAAAAATAACATTATTCTCTAAATTCTTCCTCCTCATTATTCTCATTATCTAATCTCTGAACCGCTTCGACAATTTGCATGATTTGGGATTCAATAATTCCTTGAAGTTCATCCATATTTTCTGTATCGCGAGCTTCTATATTTCTGAGCCTTTGAGCTTCAGCAACAATTGATTTCTTCAACTCTGATATATTTGCGCGTAGTGCTTGCTCATGCGCCTGTGCGTTTGATGGAGCTTCTCTGAGTTTTTTATCTAAATCAAATTTAAAAACTTTTGTTTCTGTTTTTTGATATGCTTCAAGCTTGTCTATAAGACTTTCTATAGAATCTTGAGCAGCATCAATAGCTTTCTGGTCGCGTTGATACTGTTCAATCTGATCTCTTAATTTATTTAATTCGATTGTAATAATTTTTTCGCCTGTATTTACTGCTTCCTTCTGTTGAAGTAAGCGTTGATGCTCGAGGTAATAAACTTTAAGCTCCTCTTGAAGTTCTTGTGATTGAAGCAAAGAATCTTTAACTCGAAGTTGCTCATATTCTTTATTTGTATTATATAATGTATTTTCTAATGCAATTACATTCTCTCGCAGTTGTTGAATTGTCGATTCTGTTGCAACTACAACAGTTTTATTTTCCGTTTTACTATTTAAAGCTTTACTCATGGCTGATTTTCTATCTCTGATTTCTTGGTTCATTCTCACTGTCTTTGATTTGATTTGACGTGTTTCTAATTCCATTTTTGCGATCTGAAGCTTCATATCATCTATATCTTCTTTCGAAGTCTTGTTACCTGTCGAGGATAGACAACGTCTTGTGAGTCCAGGAAGGTTCTTTTTCTCTCTATTTGTATTAATTGAAGATCTAATCCGAATTGCACTGTTTGGACGCGACATTTTATCTCGACAAATAGTTCGTTATTTGAATTTCTTGCTCAAAATCTTTTATTATACAGCCCATATTCTGAAATCTTTTCCAATAGCCCATATACTATCTTTTTCAATGGTTCAGAAGGAATGGGGGATTAATTTTCATGAAATTTTCAAAATTTCACCTTAAAATCTTATAAGAGAACAATACTGAATTATGAAAATTTATCACGAACAAATTTTGAGCATATTTTCATAATGTAAATTAGCATATTTTGTAAAAGAATTTTGAATATTTTGAAATAGATGAATTTAGATATTTCTATTAAAATGGTATTCATAAATATAGTTTGTATGTATCACAAAGTATAAATCATAGGCTAAACCCTTTAATCGACAATAATTGCGTTCCATTTAATACAAAATTGGACAAGGTCATCAATATTATCCATTTTATTGAGTGTTTTCATGTCAAAGATGGTATACGAAATGGTAACGCTGAGACATTGTATTTCCATGATGGTGTGAAAAAGAGGAATATGTTTTAAAGAATAATTAAATCTTTAATTACTCATATTTAAAATGTTTAAAGAGGTCTATACTCATAGGTATAGTAGTTGGCCTCGTATGGATAAGCATAGTCGTTTTCTTCGTAAATGTATCCGTATTCATTGGCATCGTAGTCCTGCTCTTCTTCGAGGGCATTCTCTTCTTCTTCGATGTAATAGATTGGCTGAACGCCGTTCTCTTCCTCCTCTTCTTCAAAGTACTCAATCTCGTTCAACCATCTGCCGGAAGTTGGACCGTAGTATGCCATTGGGTAAATGTTTTCATCTTCATAGTTCTGCTCATACTCGTAAATTTCTTGATAATTTGTTTCGTATTCGTAGTACTCGTTGGCTTCGACTGGGTCGTCAACGTATTCGATTTCGTTTGTTGTCATTTCCCATGGGTTTTCATACTCATAGGAGTTCTCATCTGGTGAATGGTATTCATAATCGTGGGTGCGCCATGCGTGAGAGAATTCGCTATTGGCTTCATTTGATTCGTATGCGCTTGCAAGTTCAAATGGATTTTCGTACTCGTAAACGAGAGCTAAAATCGAAAAGATCATGAAATCTTAGTAAAATGTGACAAGAAGATATCTTACAAATTTTGAAAGGTTTAAATTTCAATTATGTTGCATTTTTAAATATGAACTTCAAATAAGCAATAATGCAAATTTGAGACTGGCAGATGACAAAATTTGATGAAAAGGTGACTCTTTATCAAAAGTGTTCAGATTTTGGATAAATTCGATTTTTGATGCATAATTGTTATATAACATCTAAATGAACTATTTCAAGAATAAAGATCTGAAAATGATTACTCACTTGAAGGAATTTAATTATTATTTATTACGTGTAATTTATACAACTCTTTAAGGGTGCACACGAGAGGATTATGTAAACTTCAGAATTTAGAACCTTATTTTTAGGCATTATCTTGGCTACCTATTTAGGCTCGAAAAGCAAAAAATATCAAAAAATACAACTTGACTCCATTATGACCCTTTCATGGAGGTAGTTTTTATCCGCTAGTATTTTCCCTTTGAATCTCTTTACAATTCGAAATCAAATTCAAACCTCAGTAGAAGAAAGGAAGAATCGACTTACTACGGTTGTAATACGAATAAATACATATATTTAATTATTTTTTATTTACATAATAATTGTTTGAAGCTCATATTCCATCAAATTTTTAAATAAAAACATTAAAATGTTGAAAATGTTCATATATTTTAATAGGGTTTTGGCACTTTATTGAGGAATTACTACATACATAGTCGAACTGAACTTGATATTTTGAAATTTAAATTATTTATCAAAATTAAAATTTAACTTGAAATTTATAATTATTTAGTCATATTTTGCATAATTCTAAGTAGATTTTGTAAAAAATCAAGAAAGAAAATTTTAACGTGCTTTATTTTTTCTTTTTTATAGTAATACATATTATTATATAATTAACATATTCATAATGTTTCACCCTTTCAAAAATATAATCCTCCTCCTCTCAAATAAACGTACATACGGGTGGCCTCTTTTTTCAAAAAATTAAAATTTGAAATTTTGGGCTCAAATATTAGAGATTTTTTCAACCTTCAACGATATATGTTGTCTATATCAGACCTCCTTTCTTTTTGAAACTTAACATTGTTCCTAAATCTTAGCCGTTAAGGCTGTTCTGAAAATATTTTTTTTTCGAAAAAATTCGAAAAAAATTCTTAAAATTCAAAAATCCCTTAATTCCTGAGGATTTTGGAAAAAAAGTTTATACATGAACATGTGTATATTATATGAAGTATATTGATAAGGTAAAAATCAAATTTTATTGCATATTCATCGAGAAAATAAACTAACGAATCCCTCAAAATTGAGAGGGTAATCCTCCTCTCAAATAAACGTACATACGGGTGCACCCTTAAAATCTTTGAATGGACACGGAAATATTTTTAAAATTATTCTTTTATTGTAGTTAATGTTCAGGAAGATTTGGGTAGCATTTACTGAGACCTACACAGTCGAATGTTGCATACAAAATTTGTTGAGGTTCTAATGGAATCTGATCCCAATCTGAAAATATAATAGATTTGTTCTTAAATGCTGCTGTTGGCTCACTATTAGCATATGATTCAATCATAGCATCAAAACCGGCTTTCAAATGATACTTCATGAATACTGTTCTGTGCACATCATCATAATTGAAGTCAAAATCATAACCGAATACCGATTTAAGATGCTTCATATCGTTTCCAACATCTTTAACAACAAATTTATTTCTGAGGATGAAATCTTTGAGTTCCCTTCTAGGTGCATCACCAACTTGTTGAATTAATATGCATAAATCCGCTGTGCAGAACGTGTAAATTGAAATTGAATCCTGCGATTGAGAATACCACTCGAGATCCATCGTGATAAAAGGACCTAATTCTAATACTTTCAATATTTTCGGGAGCTCTGGACTATCAGAAGTAGTGAGCATCACTGTAGTAAACTCATCCGGAAAGAACTCAACTTTTTTTGCTGTTCCATATTTCCAAACGCCAGTAAGCTCTTCTAAATGTGATAAGATGTTCGAGTCTAATGTATCTAAGTTTGAAATATCAGTGGACTGAGTGCGCATTCCTTGTCGATACATTCACGAAAATGATAAGACACTTCACATCATCTATAATAGTCGAAATAAGACATGCTCACATTTATCTGGGCATTAAATATACTTATGCTTAAGAAAGAAAATTCTTCATAATCCTTTCTTTTTACAGATGATGAAAACATAGAAATAAATATGAAAATATGGAATCACATTCGAACTACACAATAAGCATAGACTTAGAGAAAGCAATCAGTATGCTTTTATCAAGTGGTGTTAAATAATCAATATTATTAATGTAAATTTATATGAAACGCAGTGTTAATACTGACAATATAAGCATTTAGTGAGAAAAAATCAAGATTTGAACTGTGCTTTGATTATAAGGATGTATCTGATATGCTCACATCACAAGAAATAGTAAAAATATAAAATTCGGAACAAAAAGTGACTTTCTTAAAGTTTAAAAATGCCGAAAAGAAAAGGATCTGGTGCGTTTATAGTACCTTTATGTTTTAAGAAAGCATGTGGAATTCGAAGTTTCCACCAATTACTATATGTAATCGGCATTATTTTTACTTTAATAATTTCATTTTATTATCTTATCAGTTCAGAAGCATTTATTGATATCGATCCAAACAAAGATGTAGTCATGATTAATAATTCGGACATTTCTACTTATTTTATTCCAAAATTTAGTGATCCAAATTTCCATTACCCGAATATTCACTCTAATTTAACAAATACATGCATCAATCGATCTGACTATATGAATGATTTAGCTCGTCTTTTTGGTTTTCAAACAAGCTTTTCTTTTAAACGTGATACTTACGTACTTGTATTTGGAGCAAGTTCTGCAGTTGGAAAATATGTAATAAAAGAACTTGTTAAGCGCAAAATAAAGTATATTCCATTCAACAGTGCCGATACTTTTGGTCCATCGAGTATTTTGTATAATTTCTTCCCATTACTGAATATTCAGGGTGCTATTGTTGCAGATACAACTTCTTTTTCACCAGATTCGATTCAATATGCAAAAGATGCTTGTGGTTTTCTTACCTCCTACAGGAAACGCATGATAGTATTAGTAATGCCACCTATTGACAGTATTTCTATCGATAGCTTACGCTGGTATAACTCAAAACTTGTTTACGTTCCGAACATTTTTGATTCATCAACATTTGACCTTACAAATCCACTTTTCAGAGCACAGTTTAACTGCAAATACAAGAATAGAACGGACTACTACAAGGAAGATTTATTCCATATAATTTATCCAGAAGAAGTCGCAAAAGTTTTGATTGAACAATTTTTCGCGGTCGAACCAAGAGATGTTAGCATTGTAGGTAACTCTAACATAAAACTCGAAAACGCCCTTAAATACGCAGTAAGACCTTATCCAGATTGCGATTTAAATGATATCTACTCGGATATTGCCTCTCCGGTCACTTCTTTATCACAAATTGTTGTTGGAAAGCCAAATGTGAATATTGAGAAGCTCATTACTAAGCAATTCGGCAAACCTCTTCAATATAATGCGAAAAAGAATTATATTTCGTTTATTATTGCTGTAAATATAAGTAATAGCGGTGATAAAGCAACATTCACTCAATTCCTTACTGAAATGGCCAATGCTTATAAGGATCATCAGCATGTTGGAGCAGATTTCATTTTAGTTGATATTTCAGAGAAGGAAAACGAGATAAGAGAAGATATTGAACTTGAATTCCAGTATAGATACTTCCTTGAGTACGTAAAATTGATCAGACACCCTTCATCAGCAACAAAAACAATTTATTCAGCCTGGAACATCGGAATAAGACGTGCAAAGGGTGAATTCATTGCTCTTATGACCTTCAAAGACTTTGTGTCCCGCGATTTCTTTGGTTTCATAGATGCTCAGAAATTTGATAAAAGAATTATTTATCGTTCTCGAACATACATGACAAATTCCAACAGAACAATACGCCATGCATTTTCTGGAAATGATATAAGCGATGCACAAAATGTTCGAGATTTCTGCACATCTAAATACGATGGACTTGTTCCGATACTCAATGTAGCATCTAACCATAACCAAGCAGTTGCATGCAACCAAATTAGCTTCTTAATGGCCAGTAGAGAAGTTTGGGATAAAATTGGCGGTCTACCTGAATTTCCAGTGACAGGAGGCTTCGAAATGGGATATATTATTATGTCTAGGTTCTTAAGAATGTTCCCAACCTACTCAACTGTTAATATGAGAGAACCACTCATTAAATTAGTTGATGAAGAGCCATTTGACACAATACCAGGCATTGATTTAGCAAAGATATCTGATGAACTGTGGTGCACAGGAAGAAGTAGCTTTATTGAACAATTTGAGAATGAAAACTGGGGATTCAAAGGTCAAGACATCCCGATTCAAGAGTATACTATTAGAAAGAGAGTTTATTAAGAATTTTCAATCTATTTTTATATAATTTGTTTTTTAATAAAATTTTCGATGATTTTCTATAATATTTATCTTATTTCCTTATCATGTGTTTATGTTTAAATACTTAACATGCATTATATTAATATTTTACTCTCAATACCAAGTAATTCAGGTTGATGTGAAGATCAATTTAATATTTCTTGAAATTTTCAGTTTATGACAAAGATTTGACTTATACATAGTATATATATCATGCTTTAATCGAGATTTCACTTGCAAGATATAGAGATATCTGGAATTTCATAGGATTTTGATGAGGAAATTATAATTATAGAAAATTTCCAGCAAAAATAAAGTTGCATATCGTTATAGATATTGAAGAATGAGTTACGCAACTAAGTATTTCAATCGGACGAAAAAACGTATTTTTTGCAAAAATGGAAGAATCAAACCTTCCTCCATTGAAACCAAACAGCAGAAATAATTCTCAAGAGAGATTTAAAGAGGAAGTTTCACCTATCAATGTAAAAAAGAGAGTTCTCAAGCAATTTATGGACATTCAAAACATGGATAAGCAAATTGAAGCCATCAAGCAACAATTACCATTAAATCTCAATAAGATGCTTCTACAAATTCGTCAAGAAACACAAAGATTGATTGAAACAGAAACTCCAACGATTTCACAAAATGATTTCGAAAATTACAAAGATCTTCTTCAGAATTTTGAAGAAAAGTATATGCTTAAAGCAGATCAAACAATCAGCGATGTTACTTTGCAAATAAAAACAACAGCTAATCAATCATTCGAAAAATCAATAGAGGAATTGAAAAACACAACCGACCCACGCTTAGACATGAAGATTGAATCACTTAGATCCCTATTAAAGCAGCATGAAAAAAGAATCAACAATAAAATTTCATATTTAGAGCATGAAGTTAGTAAACTAGGCATTAAACCAACAGACAGTGGTGCTGTTAATACAATTTCAAGAGTTAAAAGAACCTTGGTTAATAATTCGAATGATTTAAAGATTATTGAGTCAAAGCTCAATGACTTACAAAGAGTTGCCTCTAAAAAAGCACAGTCTTCAACTTCTCCTATTCAAACAAACAATAACATTACAATTGAATCACTTTCTAATTTTATTCCTAAAAAAGTTGTTGATGAACCACCAAACTTAACAGAACCACTAGCCTTACTTCAACAAGTTGTTACAGAGTTCGAAAAAGAGTATTCTGAGAAGTTAGTTTCATTAGATGAGAAATCTGTTTCAATTGAAGAGTCAATTGACGAACTAGATGGAATGATTGATGATTTAACTGCTGCTACTAACGAAATTGAACTTCATACAAAAGAAACAGAGACTCTTTGCAAAGAACTCACCCAATCAATATCAAAAATTTCATCAAAATTAAATGATGACAGCCAAAACTTAGTTATACAGAGAACTGCACTCCAGATACAACAGTTGTCTTCTTCAACGCGAAGTGATATTACTAATCTCTATAACAAGGTGAAAAAGATAGAATTATCACTTCCTCTTTGAATTTATTTCAAAATTTTTTTTTGTTTGTAAAAAATTAAGAAATCTATTTAATGAAGATCTTTTTATTCGATAGCCTTGCATACTTCAGTGAATCTCCTTGAGATATATCATTAAATTGACATAAATACATGAGTAATGATGATTGATGAGAAGAAATAGGTAATGTTATTCATCTCGATAATTTTTGAAGAGAGAATGCATGTTTTATCTAGTTTTTCAGAATCAAATTTCCATGAGATTTTTTATTTGGATACCGAAATTGAAATAGTAAATGCATTGTTTATTTCTATGTTGTGTTTTGGCATTTTCAAGTAAATATGGATTGGACTAAAAAGTGACAATTTCATTTTTTTAAAATATTTGATATTTTTGCAAATGGGGGAACAATTGAATTTCCCTCACAGCCAAAATAATCAAATATCAAACATTAATGATTATGCTCCAGGAATGATACAGTTTATAAATACACCAGAAAAAAATTATTCGTTACATGAGAAATTTCCTCCAATATTAGGCGATATTTATGAGCGAGAGATGCAGAATTCTGGTTTCAACAAATTATATGATCCAAATCAATCAATTTATAATATTCCAATACAAAAACATAAAAACGCAGATGAAAATATTAATCTTACTGCAGACGTGATGCTGAAGTACTTATACGAATGATCTTTATTCTCCACTTCATTGTTTCTGAAAAATACAAATTTATATTATTTTGCCAACTATTAAATCGGTTTTGAATCATTACACTTTTAACACTTACTATCATAGAATGATGGCATATATTTAGAAATCAAAAGTCCGAATATTTGACGAAATTTATTCCAAAATTTACTTTGTATTATTGAACATTCTACTTGTTTGTTGTTTTTATAAATTTATATTAGTTTCTATTACATTAATTTGTTTTATTTCGATCTTTTTTACTTCATTATTGAAAATATTTTTTTGAATATTGACAATGCAAATAATTCATAAATTGAAATCTGAAGTTTGTCTTAATCATGATATTAAATGTAGTTTGTAAGTCTTAAGGAGGTACACCAGTGCCTAAATAGCATATTCATCTAAAATTTCTCTTAGCAGCTTGTGAGATTTTGATTCTGCTCTGTCCATAGATAAGGATTATCTTACTCCCGCCTTGAGATATGATGTATTTCTTTCGAAAAAGTGAATTGAAAAGCATTTTGAAGCAAAAAAAGTTCATTAGTATATAATATAATGCATATATTTAGTAAAATTAATATATATTTCTAGAAAAATTGAAATTGTAATTTCGAAAATTTTGTTTTGAAATTTCTAGAAATTTTTTCATAAAAAAATGAAAAATTTATGGAGGCGTTTAAAGCCCAAATATATCCACCCAAAAGAATACACTGAATTGCGAAGTATCTATAAATACTATATCGATACGTATAATGTGCTGTATCAGTTAAAAACGGAAAATGAAGAAGAATTAAACTCTATTTACAAAATTATCAAAACAGAACTCATTGATTCAAGAGTTTGTTCCCCAACAAGTATTGTCAAAGATATTTTTCGCATCATCACATTCAATAACCGCTTTACAAACTCATATTTGACTCTTGCCAAATTCATTACTGATGATTATCATTTAACACAGATCGACGGTAATGGTTTTCTTCCTGACTTCCTGTTTTATAAAAAATATAGAATTAAATTAAACAACCATATTGATTACAAAAATGATTTAACAAATATCGATATTCATACAGAAAATACCATTTACAATGCAATTATGTATAATGACCTAGAAAGATTCATCTTTTTTACGGAAAGAGAAGGATTTGATAAAGATCAAAAAATTTTAAACAGTTTATATCCATATAATTGTGAATATTCATTACTTGAATTATGTTGTTATCATGGAGCTGTTGATTGTTTCAAGTTATTAAGAACGAAATTTAAATCCGAAATAACTCAAAAATGTTTAGAATTTTCATTTTTAGGAGGAAATGCAGAGATCATGAGTGAATGTTTGAAATATCAAACACCAAATGGAACATGCATGATGTTTGCAATTATCTCACACAACATTGATTTTGTTACGTTCTTGATGAATGAATACAATATAGAGATCGATTTATTCAATTGCGAAATATACAAAAATCTTGAAGCATTTTTAGTTTATTTGGATCAAACTAAAGATGCTAAAAATGCTTATTTTACTCCCCGATATTTAATATTCAATCCTTTTGCAAATACATCCTTTCTCTTGGTGCAAATATCAATGAAAAATATGATCTTGGAAGAACAGCTCTTCATAAAGCAGCAGAAAATAATTGTAAAGAAATAGTCGAATTTCTTATTTCAAAAGGTGCAAATATCAATGAAAAAACTAAATATGGGGAGACAGCTCTTCGTCTTGCAGCGGAAAATAATTATAAAGAAATAGTTGAATTCCTTGTTTCACATGGTGCAAAAATCAATGAAAAAGATATTAATGGAGCAACCGCTCTTCATAAAGCAGCAGAAAAGAATTGTAAAGAAATAGTTGAATTTCTTATTTCACATAGGGCAAAAATTAATGTGAAAGATAATAATGGAATGTCCATTCTTCATTATACAGCATTGAAAAATAGTAAAGAAACAGCCACAATTCTTATTTCACATGGTGCAGATATCAATAAAAAAGATAAATGTGGAGATACTGCTCTTCATTATGCAGCAATTCATAATAAATATGAAATTGCAGAACTTCTTATTTCACATGGTGCAAATATCAATGAAAAAGATAAAGATGGAGATACTGCTCTTCATTATGCCGCATGGTTTAATCGTAAAGAAATTGCAGAACTTCTTATTTCACATGGTGCAAATATCAATGAAAAAGATAATGCAGGGAAAACTGCTCTTTATTATGCCGCATGTGAATATAGTGGAGAAACAGCCGAAATTCTTATTTCACATGGTGCAAATTACAATTAATAAAGTGAATATGGAAAATAATAATGTCCTCTATATTTAATTTTTTCCCAAAAAAAATTGAATTTAAATTTTATGATAGCCCTTTAGAGAATTTTTTGATTGAATCAATTATGAAAATGTGTGATAAACATTTCCTCTTATATCCAAATGAAATGGTAAAATATTTTGTGATAAGGTTTTACTGGTTCTTTCTTATTTTGTTGTTAGGTTATTTGAAATATAAAATTACAACAATAATTTTGTCAATGTAATTACCTTTTCATGTACGCTCAATACTTTTTAATATTTACCGGTCAAGTCCTAATGTTCCTGCATAATATATACACAACGAGATTCAATGTCGACTAAAAAGTCATTCACACCTAACTCAGTTGGTTAGAGTGTCAGACAAGATTAACAAATTTTGATATTATTATGAGTTCTCTGCAACGATATGTAAATTATTTTCATTGCATGCTCATTATCGAAATGAAAATATCTACTCTTCATCATAGATTAGAGATAACTGTTTAACCAATAAATTGGAAAGTGGATTTATTGTTATAACTAGATAAGCTCGATCTTTTTTTTAGTTGTGCTTCACACCGATATAAATGATCGTTTTGAAAAGTGTTTATCCTTTTTTTTCCTTGTCTCGCAGAGGAAATAAATGATAAACAAATGTTTAGAGGAATATAAAGATTTTATTGAAACATACGAAAACTTGTTTCATGTGAAATCAGCTGAAGATATAGAGAGCATTTTAAAATTGGTGAAATCTGTTTTAATTGAGAAATACAAAACACCCCTCTTTCAGATTGTAACAGACTTATATAATGCTATGACAATAAATTTTCGATCTTATCCCACCTATTTCAAAATATTAAATCAAATTTGTAAAGAATACGCGATATCCGGGTTTTATATTCGTTCATTTTGCAATATGCTGCTATTAAAGACAGATTCTTACGGGAAACAGCAAGATAATATTGCAGCATTTATAGAAATTATAAAATTTCCAAAAGAAAATGAAATTCATTATGCAATTATCCATGATGACATTGAATCAGTCAAAACATTCTCAATACAAAAAGATTTATCAGAAATAAAATGTTTATGCCCACTAGAACATATAGAGCATATCAATGCGCTAGAAGCATCTGCTTATTATGGATCACCAAATGTTTTTTTCTTTCTTATTTCACATATTGGTATGAAAATCACTAACAAATGTGCATTTTACTCATTTGTTGGTGGTAATATAGATATTATAAATGAATGTTGTAAGTTCTACACTTTTTATGAAAAGTTCTTGAAAATGGCAATAATATCGCATAACAATAGTTTAGTGGAAAATCTTCTCAGTAAAATTCAATTAAAATTTCACTCAAAATTTTTGTTTGAATTCCGGGATAATCGCAACTTAAAAGCCTTACTACTTTTTGGTCAATTGAATATTAAATTTTTGTATCCTGAAATAGCACAATATCCAGTAACTTTGAATTTTCTTGATCAGCCTAACTTGGTTAATATGTGGGGACTAAATTTGATACAATACTCAACTATGATTAATAACACTAATGTCTCCAAATTTTTAATAAATAAAACAAATGTTCCAGATTTAACTTCACCTGCAATTCAATTTCATGGAAATACTGCGCTCCATTTTGCTGTCGTTAATAATAACTTGGAAATTGCAAATTTGTGCATTTTACATGGAATGAGCGTCGACAAGAAAAATATGAATGGAATTGCTCCACTTCATTTTGCATGTGCTATTAAAAGCATAGAAATGGCTAAGTTACTTATTACTAATGGTGCCGCCCCTAATGTAACAGATAATAACTCGCAAAGCGCTATTTCTTATGCAGCAGAATTCAATTGTAAAGATATTGTTGAATTACTTATTTCTCATGGTGCAAATGTCAATGCAGCTGATTGTTATAAATTCACACCACTTTACATTGCTGCATATAAAAATTATTATGAAATTGTTGAAATCTTGTTATCCCATAATGCAAATGTAAACACTCTAAATAAACATTGGAAAACCCCCATTCATATTGCCGCCAAAAATAATGATCTTAAAATGGTCGAACTTCTTATTGCGCATGGTGCACAAATTAATATTCAAGATCATGATAACAAACTTCCAGTTGATTATGCACAGGAAAATCGCAATCTGAGATTAATAGAACTTCTATCTTTACATTGAAAAGACTCTAAAAACCAGATATGGGGAAATATTAAAAACTTTTTATGTAGGATTAATAAGGAGTTTTCAAGAACGCACTAAATTTCTTTTAGATCATAGCGTGGTTGTCATATTTCACAATACAAACACGCTGTGCTTATTCTTAGTATTGCATTTTAGACAAATGATTTGTATTTAGTAAATTTTTAATTTTTCCCTATTTTTGGGTGTGAAACTGCTCTTCATTGGGCTGCAGAAAATAATAAATTAGCCGCAATGAAATTCCTTATATTACAATGGTTAGATATCAATGCATAAAGACTTATAAATTTGTCTCATTATTGATTCAAATAACAATAATGATAAAAACAAAAAAAATCTCCTCCCGTGTGCCTCGAACACAGGACTTCCAGATTAACAGTCTGACACTCTAACCAACTGAGTTAGGGAGGATTTGACATTTGCATCAAATTTAGTGACCTTGTAAAAATAATTCTTACTTTTTAGAATATCACTTCAAATAAATATTATTAGGAAAAAATCTAATATCCAGAAGAACATTCATGTACATATGCATTTGCTTCCAATCTGCTGGTTAATGGTCTAACTTTAATCCTTTTATTAATATTTTCTCGGAAATATTCTTTCCAATCACAGCCAACATCATATACCCTAATACAAACATGAATATACTGCATAAATTTTAACTAATCAATTATATCTGCAAAAGTGTAAGCTTTGATTGAGAAAGTATTAAGTTTCACTCTCTCAGTAATGAATAAAATCGAAACTAATAGCAATTTCATCTATAATGGACTCTTTGGAAAAGAATCTTTTAAATGGAATTTTATATTTATATAAAATCAAAGTGAATATTACGCAAAGTCCCTTTCCTATGATAAATGAATGTGAAAGATGAAAAATAGAGAATTAATTTGATAGACACAAAACAAATAGAAAGTTTATTTAGACTAGTATGAAAAATATAATTACAAACTATATAGTAGTAGAAGAACCTTCTCCTATTGATACCAACTGTACCCAATCTTCACGGAGAATCATTCGAGAAATGTTCATTCCTGGAATCGGTTTTTCATTGAAGTATTCATGACGCAAAGCATCATGTGCTGTAATTCTATGGTAAGGGTTGTATTCGAGCATCTTTATAAGCAAATCAAATGCTTTCGGATTGACATTTTGAAATAACTTCTGCAGGGAAGTCTTCTGCTTAGGTTTTGTCATCCTATTGTAGTCTGCTAAATGGGCACACCATTCTGGCCGGGCAATGCTCGACTCATTTATTGGTCCCATGATTTCTAAAATTTTTGCAAGTTGATTCTTATTGAAACCAGTTGGATTTTGCTCGTTCTGAGTTTCAGCCTTGAACAAGACATCACCCAACAGCAATTCGGCGAAGATGCAGCCAGCAGACCATAAATCTATAGAAGCATCGTAATGGGAATCACCAAGAAGTAGTTCTGGTGCTCTATACCATACAGTAACTACTCCTGTATTTTTCGGGAAGTTCGTATTATCAATCGCTCGGGCTAAACCGAAATCTATCAATTTAACTATGCCAGGAATCTTCGAATTCTCAGGCATTATGATCAAATTTGGAGGTGTTATGTCGCAGTGAATAATTCCTCTTTGGTGGATATGGTCTAATGCAAGGAGAAGTTGAAATAAGATCGATTTTGTTACCATTTCTGAAACAATCTGCTTTCTCGATAGATAAAATCGAATTAATTTCCTAACATCAAACGCACCGTAATCGTAGACAAATGCTAAAACATGATTATCAGAATCATAAAATACATCTTTGATGGAAGTATGGATAATATGCGGAAAATTTATCTCACTCAGAAGAGTAAGTTCTCGAAGCACGGCCGGGGGTATTAGTTTGTCGTCATTTCCGTTTTTTGTCTGTTTTGATTGTTTAACACTGACGATTTTAGTTGGGTCCCCGATAGCTGAAGCCTTGAAAACTTCGCCGTAAGTTCCGCTTCCAACCTTCTTCAAAAGGGTGTAGTGGTCCTTTAACAAAGGTCGGGGGCCACGCATGTTTTGCGTGTTTTCGCCTTTCTGATATTTTTATTTGAGAGCGCATCGATGAAAAACCCTTCAATTTCAATTGTTGCGACCAATCTCCTCAGAAAAATGGGGTAAACACTTCATGTGGGGTGCATTCTGTTTGATATCGATAATACATTTCATTTTAGGAGCTTTCATGTAATCACTTCACCAAAAATTTTCATTGATTCGACCACTTGTATTTCTCCGTATTTGTGGCATGAAAAATATGTTTTAATATTGTATTGACATTAGAGTGTACTGGCCTGTCATTTTGCTGACCAGTTATCAATGAAAAAATTTAGAGGAAAAGTGAACTGAAGTATATTCTTCTGAAATTAATATATTCGGCTGTATATAGTGTAACAATAATATTTTTATTTTATTTTTTTATCGAAATTATTTCTGCCTAAATGATTGAATCATTTCATAGCAATATGTATTTAGAACATGAAAAATAAAATGGGCGACTCAATTCGTTATTTTGGACTTTTAATCTAATTCGATCAAATCTTTGCATATGAAAAGATCTTTTTCACAAATTTTATTCATGGATACTAGCTGTATTACTTTAGGTATATATGATCTAAGGAATCATCTGTTTTGAACTGAAATTTAAAATTTTATTCATTGACTATAGCGTTAGATCTAATAAAGAATATACAATCGCTCACACTTTCAAATATATGATAAATATGAATAATAAGGTATTTCAAATACCATTTGCTCGCAAAACACTGTTATTTTGGAGAAGTTTAGAGAACAAATTATTCAAATACTGCGATCTTATCAAACAACTCAAAGCTATTGAGCTTTTATCCACATTGATGTCTCAGAATGAATGATGAAAATTTTAAAATTTCTTTTTCAAAGCATATTATGCATATGTTCCAAACAGCATGCAGTAGTTTATATTGAGGGATCAATAATAAAGTAAATTAAATTAGGCAAATAAATTTGGAAATTTCTGCTAATAATCTGTGATAAACACGAATTTTCACGAGTATAATGTGATATTGTTCTAGAAAAAACTAAATTAAATGGAGATAAGATTAAAAGTCAATTTGATATCGAAAGATCATGATATGAAAGTTAATACTGGAAAAAAGTTGGTAAATTGTATCGACCTCATATATGATTGAAAATAATTTACATGATGATGGAAAAGTGAATGAGATGTTACATCAAATCGAAAAATTTATGTGAAATAGTCCAACGTTTCCTAACATTAACTGATGAAATATAGAACCGAGCATGAACGCGTTTCATATGCTAAAACAGCAACAGGAAATGAGGTACCTAGTCAAGAAACAATTATCATTATTTTTTTTTCTCAAACAGATTATCTGCCGATATGAACAAAATTTTTCGGCTTGTAACGTATAGTATTTTTATATATAATCGAAATAGTAAGAGTTTTACACAACCAAACATCTCAAAACAAAAAATTGAATGGACATCTACATTATGACACCATAAGACATGATGATTATGATTATCTTAATATCGAATACGATGGTACTAATTGAATGCACATCAAACATGGAAACTACTTTTTTTTTTCTGAGTAAAAAAAATTGGTCCAGTAGTTTTCATGCAAAATAAACCTATTGATAACCAAATTGAAGAAATCATAAGGAAGAAATATGGTTATTCAACTCCTAGCAAGGCGCCCAATATAAAAAGAAGTCCGGAAATGACGGATTTGTGCAATCAAATATTAAATAATCAGAAAGCAAACAATATCTCCCAGCACGATATCATTAAAAAATTCCCACAGTATACCAGACTTCATATTAGTACGGGAGTCCTGGATGCTGAAATTCTTCAAAATCAAGAACAGCTAGAAAATAAAATCCTCCAAAACTTGAAACCACCGAAAATATTTACTTACTCGCTTTCTGTTATTGAAGGTCCTCCGGTTCGTTTTTGCATAATTTTAGCCTTTTCGAATAATAAATTTCATAAAGAATCGATTACAAAGGTTTTGGAGGACAATAAGGATCCTAACATTAAGTTTGACGAAACTAAAGTATTATCGATCATAAATGAGTTTAGAAAAGTGCTTGGCAAACCAAATTTGAGAATATCACGCTCAGTCAATAAAAATCTCACAGAAATGATTGCCAAATCAAGAGATGATACAGAATTTTACAATAATGCCTTTAAAGATAACAGTTATTCCTTCATATTTGATTTGGCCCCGAACCAAAAGGACTTAAATATAATTCAGCATAATCTCTCAGGTTACTACAACAGAAGACTTCTCTACGCTGACATCAACGAGGTCCAAATTTCTACTAATCAGACAAAAATTTACTTACTTGCTAAAGAACCAGAAAACCACCAAAGAGATGAGCTTAAGATTAGTGAGTATGTCTACCCATACCATGCTCCGCAGCCCCAAAGCCAAGTTCCAATCCAGATTCATACACAGCCACCGAAGTACGACCAGCCAAAGCCACAGAAAGAGGAAGAACCACAGCCAGAGAAGCCAAAGACCACAGCCAAGCCCGTACTTCTCTCATGGAAACCAGGAGATACAGAATCTAGCAAGCCAAAGCAGGAAACACCAGCCCAGACAGAACCTCCAAAGCCAGAACCAAAGAAAGAATCAAAGAAACCAGCCAAGGACTCTAAATCTGGTCAAGATCAGAAAATTGCTTCAGGAATGGAACGTGTTACACCTCAAGTTGTGGTAGTTCCTGATGTTTTACCAATGGCCTCAACAAAAGCCCATGTTGACGTTCAAAATTCCCATAAAGAAACATCTAATTCTTCCCAGAAGCCACAGAGAAACAGCAACAGCCACAAACAGAAGAAGGATGATGATAGGTTCCGTGTCTGGACCCCAGCTTTGGAAGCAAAGAAGGCAGAACAGGCAAATCCAGCTCCGGCCACAGAAAAACCAAAACCAGACCAAGAGAAACAGAAATCGAGGAAGCAGAAGCCAAAGAAGGAAACCGAAAACCAGAAACAGGAGACACAAAAACCAGAAAATTCAAAAAAACCTTCCCATCAACAGGAAAGGCCAGAACCAGCCCCACAAGTAGCTAAGCCAAAGCCAGAACCAGTCATTACCCCAGAAGAGCTCGAGAAGCAGTTAAATGAAAAATTATTCCAAATAAAGTCGGATAAGAATCTTCCAATCCAAGCACTCGAAGTACTCCATCAAGATCTCCAAATCTACATCAAATCAATTAGCAATGGCCAGATTGAATTCACCCGCGACCAAACTATTTTAATTCTCGAACCAGTTTACAAAAAGATTGAGCCGATCAAGATCCAGGGATCCCTCATTGGCGAGAAGGTCGTTGAAAATGTTTTGAAGCAGACATTAGATTTTTATGAAGGAAGTGGCATCGATCCAGTGAACGACAAGGAGATGTCCTTCATGACAGCCATCATCTGCAGCAAGGACAATAAGAAATACGTTGGAACTGTTGTTTTTGCCAGCATTTCGGATGATATGTACCAAGATATCCTTCTTCACAACAAACTCAACCATAAAAGAGACGAACAAGGCCTTCCTCCACTCATTTTCGACCCGAAGATCAGAGAATTCGCTGTTCAGGGCATAAAGTATATGATTGAACAGAAGAGAATCATTTCTTTCAACGACGACCAGAAGGAAGCCCTCAAGCAAATGGAGAACTCCACTAAATACAATGGAATCGCCCTCCAACTCGCAATTCCAGAAGATAAGGATAAGGGAGAGCTCTTGATTCAGAAGTTAAACGACGAAAAAGCTCAATTATCAATCCTACTCGGTGAATACAACCACGTTGGCATCCACATATCTAAGTTCGAAGGTGAAAATTACTACTGTGGAATATATTTTGTGAAAATTGAACAATAAATAAAAAAAGTTTATTTAATTTATCTTTTATTATTTAGGCAAACTTCATTTAGATATGATTTACATTGATTTCAAGATATATCTCATTTTATTTTTTAGAATTTTATTAAATACTAATATATTTCTAACATTTTACCTTATGTAATTGCGATTTTATCTTTAAAATCTATCGGCAATACCTATTTATACTAAAATTTCTTTGATAATTGATATTTAAAAACTATTCCGTAATATTCAGAAAAATTGAAACAATCCTATAGTTTACACAGAAATATTAAAAAAATTCTGAGTTGAAAATATAATTCTATCTTATAAGCAATGTCCCATGAAGCTGACTGCATAAGGAGCTTGGTACCTTATGATCTAGAAAAATTGAGAGGATCAGTCCACCTCGGAGAAAAAGCCTTAAGTAAAAAGTTGAATAAGATAATTTTTATATTATTAATGAAATATAAGTTAAAATATATATTCTCTTTACTTCATTCAATTACGTTTGGATGATTTGCCCTTACTTCCAGATGAATGGCTCTTATGTCCAGATGAATGGCTCTTATTTCCAGATGAATGGCTCTTATGTCCAGATGAATGGCTCTTATTTCCAGATGATTTGCCCTTATTTCCAGATGGCTTGTCCTTATTTCCAGATAGTTTATCATCACGTTTTTGTGAAGTATTATCAATTTTAAGTGCAGGTGATTTATTTTCGATGTAACGAAGGCCGGTTAGATCAATGATTGTCATGAAATCAAAATCTCTGAACTGAACCAAAGTGACGTATATCGCTAATATTTTGGCGATTGTTTCGAAATCATTGAATTCTTCTTCTCCTTGTGTGGTATTTTGAGGTTGGCCGTGTGAAAGGATAACAGTCGAATCTATATGCTTAACTGATTTCACTGATTCTTGTAAATATTTGATATCAATATTTGGCTCGATTACACAAATATTCAATATGTCATCTTTGAATTCAGAAAATATACCAAGAGATGTTACTTTGCTAAAATTAGTCTGGTATTTTTCGTCTATAGAGTCCAAGAATTCGCTTTCCCCATTACAATATCCAAACAAACGAACTTTTTGTCGAGGATCTGAATGGCATTTGATTGCATTATGAGCAAATTTGCAGTACTCTTCAATCTGAAGTAAGACATTTGATGGATAATTTAATTGAGGTGGCATATCAACTGTATTGTAAAAAGTATGAGTATATTTGAATTTTGCAATGCAACTATGACGAACTTCAAAAGTAATTTTAATATCTGGTTGCTTGCTTTTTTCTTGTTCTTCAGAATCATTATGATCTGGTTGATCATTATCATCTTGTTCTTCTTCATTATTATCTTGCTCTTCTTCATTATTATCTTGTTCTTCTTCATTATTATCTTGCTCTTCTTCATTATAATCATTATATTGTTCTTCTTCAAAGTCGTCATAATAATAGTCAGATTCGTCATAATATATTTCTGGTTGATACTTATCGAATTTTTTAATGATATCTTCGTTGATAAGATTGTTTCCTTCTATTTCTTTCGTGCTGTAAAATGTATTTGTGAATTCATCATCTGGAAAAGCAGGACCGACGACGTAAGAAATGTCTCCTCCTTTGGAAATTGTGTACAGAGAATACATATTGTCAGCAGATACAAAATCTGGCTCCATGCTGAGAGGTAAATATCCGTCTTTTACTATATCATTCTTATTGATTGTTAATTTTGTATCATCAACATTACCAGGATTTTTTACTTTGTATACATAAATTTTTTCACTCTTTGCAAGAATTTTGTCTGAAATGACTTCATTTATATCATATTTTGTGTATTTCGTTGCCTTTTCATATGAACTTGAATCAAGCTCTTGTTCAAATGGCTTTGCAAAATTTTGAAATACTTCACGATTATCTTTTTTAACACCGAAATTCTTAAAGGCTCCGCCGAATTTTTCGAGAATATTTTCAGAATCTTTTGCAAAAAGTGAATGTGATTTGAAAAAGTGCTTGAAATAAGCACAGTCTTGAAGATAAATATAGCCAAATGGCGCGTTGGATTTATATTGTGTTTCAATTACTTTACCACACATATAATGTAAGTAATTAAGAACATGGAATTTGCATTCTTGAAATGGAGGAAAATCGATTATTTCTTTTGATGTAGGAAATCTTGAAATTAGTTTGTATTTGATAGAATAAATATCAATATGGAAATCTTTTTGTTCTTTGGAATTTATTTTACGGTGGAAGCAATTAATAAAAATAACGTTGTTCGTGCTTAAGCAACCTAGACTTTGACAGTAAATTTTATCATCCTTCATGAAAATAAAACATATTTGGTAATTGTGAGAATACAAAAGACAATGTAATGAAAAAAATTCGTCATAAGAAAGTAGACCGATGTTTGAATCTGGGTTTGAAAATTGTGGGTTGAGTTTATCTTGAGGAAAGATTTTAAGCCATTCTTCACGAGATTTATCTTGATTTAGTTTTGGTATTTGGCCTTTGATCAAAAATTGTAATGCAGGAATTTTCAAAAGGAAATCTTCAGATTGAAAGTTGATCTTTTCGTCAAAAATCTCATCGCATGGAATTTGGTCTGAATGAAGTAAATAATAAAAAGGAAATGGATGCCTAATATTGCGTTCTGATATTCTTTTCAGCAAATCCTCTGGTGGTATGTCGTTTTTGTTACCATCGGAGGCGGACATTGTACTTTTTGAAAAAATTCCCCCAATTCGAGGGTTCTTCAGAAAAAAATTTTTACAATTTTTTTTACTGAAAAAAAATTTTCATCTGGTGAAAAAAAATCACAGATCTGGGGTTACCAGAAGGTATGAGAATTGGATGCAAATAGGATAGCACGCTCCCTTATGAATAGTAGATGTATCTCACATCAATGAATCATCTGGGAAACGAAATTTTTCACTCTAAAAATATTTTCAAATTCAAAAAATGAATAAAAAAAAATTATAATCATAAAAAACAGAATTTTTTACCCCGGGGAATGTTTCCCAGCACTTTTAAAAGAACATTCTATAATTGCACTTCCTATATGCTTAATCATTTTCATAATAAAGTACATTCATATCAAAACCACGCAAATACAGTCTATAATCTCCATTATGATTTTTCCTCTCTGTATTAATTTGATGCTCTTAAATTTTTCATCTGATGCTACTTTAAATTTATTTCCCTTCTCATTGTAATATGAATATGTATAATCAGATTGCTCATCTAACACTGTCCAATCCCCATTCTTTGTTTCTCCAAGTAATATCCAACTCTTCATTTCGTTTGATCCTAATTTATATTTGATTGGAGTTATCGATCCTATTTTCACTTCAACCTTTATATATGAATTAAGTTCATTATCTGTATAAACACCCGAATACGAAGAAAAATAACTACTTGAAGCTTTAATATTAACAAATGATTCTGTTGTACAGAAATTTTTGATGCATTTACATCCAGAACTTGAACTACTACTACTACTACGAGAAGTAATCTCATGAAATAGACTATATAATGCTTGAATTTTTATATTTGCCTCATTTCTCTCATTGTTTGCTTGTGTTATTTCAATTCTTGCTCGTTCTAATGCATTTTGTGCTTGTTCTACTACATAACTCATTTGTGTCAGTCTGTTCTGAGAATCATCAAGTTCATTCTTTGTTTTATTATATTCACTATAGAGATATTTATAAGGTTGTGAATTAACTACAATAGAATTGAATGTTTCTTTTGAAATATATGCTTGTGTTTCAGTGTCAACTTTGAGGATTTCTTTTTTATCAAATATTCCATTGAAACAAGTTTTGAAGCAGTTCCAAATGTTCATTAAAATTGGTTGTTGCAAGTAAGATAAAATGGTTTCAAAATACTGAGAGAAACTTAGTTTTGTCTCATTTTTTGCTTCTTCAAAGCTAATATGATTAAATAATTCAACAAAGTCTGCATTTTTTGCGGCAAGATTCAGGCAAACAATAAGAAATTGATCAATATCTCGATATGCAAGTGATTCGTCTTCTAAAATTGAAATAGCATCAGTAGGATCTAGGATTGAGAGAAATGAAATGAGCTCATCTTCAGTATGAGATTTAAAATATTGTAGGATATAGTTCTTAGGTACTTCCTTTTCTCCGTCGACATACAATTGAGCAAATCTTTTGAGATTACTACTGAGGGATTCTATGTACAAAAATAAATGATTTTGAATGAAAAATTTGACTTTTGCCAAAGCAGGAAGATTGTAAGAATACCACTTTGGAAAAGTTTTAATTTAGCCAAATTAATTGTCAGAATGTAAATGGTAAACACGAATTAAAAGGTACGTATCTATCAATTTTTGAATAGTTTACCAATTTTCCTTCTCTGAGAGTGAGAGAAAACTATCAAATACTAAAGCTCTAATAAGCTGCGCATGCAATAGTTAGTATAATAGCATCTAATATTGCTAAAATTTATGGTTAGTATCCCTTAATGAAATTTCGAAATCTTAAATCTTGAAGTTCATCCTGTGTGTATGCTTGTTATATGATTCGTTGTTATTATTCCGAATTAGAGTAAATAGAAACTCAAATAATTAGTTGAAAGACTTCTCTCCAAAAGTGGCACCTAAGTTAATTGTTTCTGCTTTATCTGATCATCGAAACGGAATTGATCCAAGTTATTAGTATGAAACAATGATATACTAGCGGATAAAGAAAAATAATATTGCAAAAGTCCAAATATTCGATTTTCTACTCATCATATTTTGCATTAAAGTTGATACCTTAATTTTTTCGAAATACTACAACAGTAGCAACTCTATGTATTACCAATGATAGCCAAAGTACTATTTTAGCATAATAAATTTAAAACGATATTGAAACAACAGATTGACTAACCTTTCTGGTATATTATTATGCATACAGTCGGTTGATGAAATATTAAATATCTTAGCTTAACCTTCGTTTGATAATGAGATACTAATCATATGTGGCTTGTTCTGTAGCAATATTCACTAACTGATAAAAAGATTATGATGAGAAGTCTTAATATGCGAGTTGTATTCACATTTTATTCAGATTTATTCTCGAAATGCAAATCACAATATATATCTTGAACTTTCCTTCGAATAAAATCATGATTTTATTGATGATTTTATAGATATTTACTATGTTTTTTAAACATATGAAGCAAATCCTGATATTTTTATATGACTAACAATTTCTGGTGAGCTACATAGAATTTTATATTATATTTGATAGAAAACTATGAATGATTTAAGATTTTGGGAAATAAAATACTTTTATGCATCAATAAAAAAAAATTATCTGGTCCTGCTGTATAATTGGTATATTTTAGTAGCAAAATTATAGAACAGCAAAAACAAATAGTTTCTCTCGATTTGGAATATAATTTAATTGCTTTGTTTCCATATAAATTTTAAATCTACAAGAATTATAACCTCATTTTTCCAAAAAAATCGAAAATAATAAAAAACGTTTCCATTTATTAAAAAACATAATTGGTATTCTCTAAAATAGAAAAAATTTGGAGAAATTCACCAAAGAGGACTTCATTACAGGTGTCGAAGACAATCGCTTTCAGTCAAAAAAGCCTCGAAAAATTTAAATATTGATTACGATTTTCATCAATCTCTTAATACCGATTGTTTACAGTTAACGCAAATTCGTGTTATTGAATTTTTATATATATATGAACATATTGTAAACAATTTATGAAACTTATCAAAATTTCGCGCAATTTAACAATATCCAACTATCATATACGTCCCTTGTTACCATGATCTAATTGTAAGAAGAAATGATTAATACAATCTTATATATAACGATTTATTTACCGAATTCTCAAAATATCTTATTCACAAATCCATAAATTATTGGATATGCATACGTATAAAGAAAAACAAAAAAAATGTTAATTCAGAAAAATACCTGAATGCAGCCTAATCAATAAACAATTTACTTTCTTAACATCTTATTTTGCTCTTCTTGAGTAAACTTTTTCATTTATTTCCCATAATACAATAGCATATCTGCATTGTTAAGTTAAATTGTGATATTGTAATATATATCTCGAAATTATTCAATATTTATGCACAGTACTACTCTGCGTAACATGTTGAGCCTAATTTGCACAATTTTGGTCTATATCTTTGTACTCGACAAATTCATAAAATATGTGTGAATGAGAATAATTAGAAAAGAAAATTTTTTATATTATGGGAGCGCATATTTTTTCTTTGATGTAAATTCCTCCCTAACTCAGTTGGTTAGAGTGTCAGACTGTTAATCTGGAAGTCGTGTGTTCGATCCACACGGGAGGAGATTTTTTCGTTTTTGCTTTTTAATTTTTTTGCTTTGAATTAAGTTTTCACAAGCTCTGTACGAATCACTTGAACGATAAGAAACCTATAATCCGGAAATATTTTTCGAGGATGTCTTTTATCTGAATAGTTTTCTGATATTCTGCATTAAAATTAATAAAATTGTTTTTGGAATGCAAAGGACAGTTGAAACCACGTACATTGATAATGCAAGTCATAAATTAGCGATTTTAACATTAAAAACTTGCTAAATGGATTAGTTATGATAATTCTTGTTTGACGTAAGCTAAGATGAAGAAAGTTTTTATACTTTAGTTTTATTTGGCTTATAAAACCTACGTTTCGTTTTTCTTTGTGATAAACATTATTGAAGACTAAAAATGATATCGTTATTTTATCTGATTTATCTTTTTTGCCGTGTGAACATATTGCGTCTTGTACGATATTACAACTATTCATTCACTCTTCTCTGCGACTTATTTGAGAATTGATATTACTATAAGTTTGCTTCGCCGAATTCTAAATGCATCCCATTGTCCAATAAAACATTCTCGAAAAGAATTTCTGGATTATATTTTTAAAATCGCATTGGTGTCTCGTATAAAGCCAGATCAAACATAATTCAATGCAAAAAAATGAAATTTCGGAGCCAAAAACAATAAAAAAATTATGGAAATTTATGTATATTGCGCCGATCTGTTCAACTTTTATGGCTCTATCTTGAAACTCTTTTGTTTTCATTGTCATTGATTAGAAGTCCTGACATTTCTTTTCATGGGATAAATTTTGCTCATACTGTTATAGCAAAATCCTGAATGTTGACCTTCTAGTGCTCGATATAATTCGTTCATCTTGAAAATATGAAATTATTAGCCCAAATTGAATATATAACAATACTCACACAGTGTCTACAAATATACACAAAAATAACGAAAGTGCAGTGTACTCACACAATTTTTTGTGCTCCAATTTCTCGTATCGCTATAAAAATGTAAAATGTATCCCGAGTTTGAACTCAAAAGTGACAAATATTAAGCATTTTGGAGATTTGGCGTCCGAAAGGCACAAATTTCGTCAAAATAATCAGAATTGTCAAATCTGCATTCTGAAGTTCAACGCTGATTAGCTACCTAAATATACAAAAGAAACATAATAAAAATTTTATATAAAAAAGAATTATTTTTTTATATAACAAAAATCATTTTTTTACATTGATGCACGTATTCTAGCAAGTGTACTTTCCTTTATACGATTAATAGTCCGATCCATTGATGCCTTGAAACAGCTTCTCACTGTTTTTTCAATTTTTTCTAATTCTTCGAGGTTTCTTGCTGAACTGAAGCAAATCTTTATATAACTCTCAGATTGGAATCCAACTCCCAACACGTCAGCGACTTTCTTGCTGTTGTTTAAGAAATAATCAATTGCAGAGTTTCTCAAGTTCTTGTTAACGATCATTACATTTAGAACTGTGTTTATATTCTGCCATTTGATCTTTAGACCAAATTCTGCGAAAATTCTCTGACAATTTGTCTGATTATTTGTTGATGCAAGAGATTTCTGAATTGCCAAGAGAGTTGTTGCATCTGTGGTGTCTAATCTGTCAAACAATTCATCAAAGGTTGTTTGATTCCATGCATCGAACATCAGAATCGTGAAATCATCAGTTAATAAATTATATTTCTTCAAATCTTTGAATTTTTCTGATCTACAGATATGTCCACCGAAGTAGACCAATCTCTTGAGTGTGTCTGTCTCGTAAACACTCATATCTTTGCCTTTCTGGAAGAGTTTGTCCGCCCAAGGATAAATCATCTCCGAAAAGTCACTTGCCATAGAACTGTCGTAGTTATAGAGGTTCAGAATGAACATTGCTGCATCGTTGACAGTAGATTTGACTAAAATATCAGTTTCATTCTGACATTTCATCAAAATATTATATAATTTCTCTTTCTTGGTCAAATTCAACATAATAAGTCTCTCCAAGTCTTGAAGAATAACCCACTTGAAGTCGTTGTCAATGTTATTCCAGTTTTCGGTGATTTCTTCCAATATTTCATCATCATATTTGACAACAACAAGAGTTTTCCTTCCGTAGTTCAAGTATTCGAACTGGTGATGAGTTTCTTCGACTTTCGTGACTTGTATGTAATCTTTTTCTGAGATAAATAATTTGAATGGCCAAGGATTCGTTGCTACTTCGAATTTGCCGTCGTATGTAGCTCTGTATTGTTTAATTGACATTCCTGTATCGGTTTTAGATACAAAAAGTACTGGAGAACCCTTAGTTCTGACCCATGCGTTGAAGAAAGGCTTTAAATCGACACCTGAGGTCTGAGAGAAGGAGTAAACGAGATCTTCAGTAACTGTGGCTGAATATCTGAAGGTATTCAAGTAAACTGAAAGACATTTTCTGAATATCTCATCTCCGAGTAATAATCTGAGCATATTTAATACGCTAGCACCTTTCTCATAACTTATATCATCAAACATCATCTCAGGATCTTCGAAATCGTCCTCAACTGCGTGAGTATAAGTACTTAAGTCGAAACTTAACGCTCTGTATTCTGTATCATAATATAACTCACTCCATGGGAAGTATCCAGTGGATTCCAAGGCAAGATGTGGTAAAATACTTGCAAATCCTTCATTCAACCACGTACTCGCCCAAGAACGAGGTGAAACTAGGTTTCCTGTCCACTGGTGAGCATTCTCATGCGCAATGACTTCGGCAGCACGACTCATCATCGCTTTATCATCTTCTTTCCCAGAAAGAAGATAATCACGAAAAGTGACAAGCCCGTAATTTTCCATGGCACCAGCTGCGAAATCTGAGATTGCAACCAATTGCAGAGCTTGTAGCGGGTAGTCAATATTCGTGTAAGACTCGAAGAACTCCAAAGATTCTTTCGCCATCTTCAAAGCAAAGTTTGGTTTCTCTTTTTGTGAAGGTAATGTGTAAATTGAGACTTCTACGCCTTTGTTCGTCGTTCCGACCAGCTTTTCCCACTTACCAACGCATATACATATAAGATAGCTTGGCATGTATGGCGTGTCTTCGAATTCGTAAAAAGATGTTTTTTCATTTTCGACAATTTTGACTGGTTTTGTATTAGCAAGTGCTAAATATCCTTTGGGAACGACAATACTAAGCTTGTAGACCGATCTGGCAAAGGGCTCATCGATACAAGGCATCATTCTTCGTGAATATTCTGGTTCGAACTGTGTTGCGAGTCCGAGAGTGCCAGAAGATGTGTCATTTGTTAGATAAAGACCATATAAATCATTGTAGATTGTGCCTGTGTAATTAAATGCTATGTGATCTGTATTTTGTGGAATATCAAAAATTAGAGTTTCTGTTGTTTCATTATAAGTGTAGGATGATTCATCTAACCCACTGATTTTAATGGTATTCGCCATATTTAGTTGAAGTTTTGTATTGATTGAAGTTTTCGGAAAAATAATGTTGATTTCGGCTGAGAATTTGAGATTTTGAATATCAGGAATAAGTTTTAATTCATATTTCTTAGGTATTAATCTACCATGAAAGGTTGTAAAGTCTCTAATTTGCTCTTTTGTTATTTTCATTAGTGTTACGACTGTGATTGCAATGAAGCAGCATAAAATAACACAAAAAGATACTGTTTTCAATACTTTTCTGATTGCTCGCTTACTCAGCGGATCAGAATGATTTTGAGTCATCTCCATCTATGAAAAATAGTGAATTGAATTTAACAAAACAGCAACGCATTAAAAGGTTATCTTGGATCAATACAGTAGATTTGATTATGCATTTCGTTTTTCAATCTCATTAATTTTTTTTTCTGATCAATTTCAAATATGGGATCATAATCCTTCTTGGGGATACTTTCATTTTGAATACGAATGCTTCAAGTATATAAGAAGGTTTATTTAAAATTAATTTTTTTCAAACAGCTTTAAATGTCTTATTGAAAATATAATACCAATTAAAGCAAGATAAACAACAATATGAATAAAATACTATAAGCAATTCATAATTTTTTGATGTCTGATCAAAACATTCAACAAAATAAATACAACGAATTACGAAGATCCTAATTTGCTCAAAGCAGCAGCAGAACTTGCCCAGTACTTGATCAACTTCTATGAGAAGGGTGTTCAACCAGATGTTCAACGCGAGAAATTCAAAATAGCAAGGAAATACCATTTAAGTCGTAGTTTAGGTTCTTCAGACATCATCAAAGCAATTCCACTTGAATATCGTGAGCGTATACTCCCTCTTATCAGAAATAGCCGAACTTCTTATTTCACATGGTGCGAATGCCAATGAAGAAGATTTTTATGAAAAGACAACTCTTCATTATGCAGCAGAATATAATAATAAAGAAATGGCCGAACTTATTATTTCACATGGTGCAAATATCAATGAAAAAGATGAAGATGGAAAAACTGCTCTTCATTATGCTGCACAAGAAAACAATAAAGAAATAGCTGAACTTCTTATTTCACATGGTGTGAATGTCAATACAAAAGATTATCTAGGGAGAACCGCTCTTGATATTGCAATAATTAAAAACAATAAAGAAACAGCAGAACTTCTTATTTCGCATGGTGCAAACATTAACGAAAATGACAAATCCCATCTTAATTATACCATGCATACACTACTATAAATGCGATTTGTAGCCATATAATTTTGATATATATATATATCCAACCATTCAAACTTTTTGGGACCCTTTTTTTCTATCAAATCATAATCCCAAAACAATTTGAAGAGTGTGATATAGCGAATATACCTCAAATTTTTCTGAGCTTTGTCTCAACTGATAGATATACATCGTGCCATTTGCAATTAGATTGCATGCACATTAATAGCGGAAATGTAGTGCATTCGAAAAGACCATCATAATGGTGGCAGTTTCATTAACACAACAGACTTTGCCACTGGCAATTTCAAGGTATTACATACTTCTCCTACGATGTGGTAATTTTTATCCACCCTACTTCAACTCATCTGAAGTCGCCAGATATGACTTTATGAATGCCACATCTTTTAAAGAGAATCAAAAATATGGAATTGGAATTGATATATATTCTAATTTGTTTATTGTCCAATATTTTGTACCATTGAACTATAGTTATCACGCTTTCTATGTGAAATATAATTATCACAAATAATTAACAATATGGAGCAAACATAATTAATTTTCTCATCAAATAGATTAGAACTAATTTCAAATGAAATAGAACATTTCGTATTTGCTGTTATAGATAATGTTTCATAATATAATAAAAATAAAATAAGTTTTAGTCGTTAATTTTAAGGGTCTTGAACGTCAGATTCAGCATCTGATTTTTTCTTCTTTTTGATTATGCAAAAAATGATAAGACCTATAATAACTCCAACTGCAATTACACTAGCTGCAATGCTAGCAATCATAATTGGTAATTCACCATCTCTATGGTTTGATCTATGACCTGATCCAGAAGCGTTGAAAGGTAATTCTTCAATATTTGAAGTATTTACAATGAAATATGGAGAGTCTTGATAATTAAATATGTAATATGCATCTATTTCTCTTCTTCCAAATAATAAAAATTGGTTGATCTTCACATAACGTTCTCAAAATAAATGCACGTTTTTCTGGAAAGTACATTTGTGTTTGCTGATTTTCGCACCCATTATAAAATGATATAATCATTGGAGAGTCTGAATAAAAAATTATAATATAGGGTGTCCAAAGGTGTGTTTAGCACAAACCTGAATACTGCGAATAGAAATAAACAAGTTACATATATATAAAGTTTATTTAAATATAATCACCATTGGATTCAATCACGCGTTCGCAGCGATCGATCCAGGCTTGAAAGACACGCTTTAAATCATCATGAGAAAATTGCTCAAATTGCTCTCTTACAAAATTTTCAAGATCGTCTGGACTCGCGAATTCGCGTCCTTCAGCTCTCTTTTTTAGCGTGCCGAATAAATAAAAGTCAGAGGGGGCAATATCAGGTGAATAAAATGGGTTTGGAACAACTTTGACATTGTTTTCCACCAAGTAATTCATTACCTTATGACTTTTGTGAACTCTTGAATTATCAAAATGAATTGCAAACTTTTGTTTTTGTTGTTTGGATTTCTCAAACTCATCAGAATTGATAATTTGAGTAAGAACATTGTCAATTAGATACTGAGCATTCATCGTATTAGGTTTTTGAAGAATATCAATTGCGATGATGCCATTCACGCCCCAAAAAACCGACAACATCATCATTGGTGTGTCAATTTTTTTCTTCGGGAATGTTTGCGGATTTTCATCCTTCGGGATCCACATGATTTTGGCTTCTGTTGCATATTGAAACCAAGACTCGTCCCCTGTTACTAAAAAGCGAAACTTCTTGGATTGATACGCACCCAATATAGAGAGGAGCTCTTTCGAAGATTGGACTCTAGATTTTTTTTGAACTGAATTAAGGTTGTGCGGAACCCAACGTGTATACGCTAGTTTGTAGTTCAAATAATTGTGCAGATAATAACTGACTGTTGTACGTGGTATCTTTGTCATCTCCTCTATCCTTCTGAGTGATGCTCTTGGGTCTTCATCTAGCGCTTGAAGAATTGCTTTGATTTTTCTTTGATCCGGCGATTTTTTGTCAATTTTTATGATGGGCGCCTTTTTGTTCATGAAGTGATACATCCTAACATGATACGTTACAGTGGAATAGCTAGGAGCATCCATACCGAAGCATTTTACCAATGTCTCGTAGATTTTTTACAGTCTTTGCATTTTTTTGCAAGAGCGAGGATGTTTTCTTTATGATTCATTAAAAAAATGAAAAAAATCCCGCCAAAATTTCCCGCGAAACCGCCTCTTGTCTCAAAATTCATTTTATATCCCGGTATGGCGCCAAAATACAACATACTCATCATATACATATATTCATATTTTTTATTATATATTTATAATCAGCATATATCTCCTTTAATAGTCTCATATAGAGCGCTGTGCTAAACGCACCTTTGGACACCCTATAGAATTAAAAACACTTTCTCCTATTTTTCTATAACAGACAATATTATAATTATTTGGATTTTCAACTGCATCTATATACAGATTTCTATATTCATTTGTTTCTGCCATTATTACAAGCTCGACACAGTCATTGTCTGATGTTCCTGCTGGAAAATTAAGACTTGAAATGTCGTTATTAACAACTTGATAACTTGTACTGACATCGTTTCTTCTAATATATACTGAAGAATGATCCGGAAATGTAATTTCTTTTGATTCTTGTCCGATTTTAATTAAATATGAACCTGTAGCTGGAATATGAATGGTTGATGGAAATGTTTCAACTTTTTCCATTGTGAGATAAGTCTGATCAGCTTCTAGATATTTAAAGTAAACGAATAAAATATTAGGTAAATAAAATTCTTTGGATTTTGTAATTATATCTGGAATATTATGATTGAAATCAGTTCTAACATAGACTTGATATCCTCTTGGGTTATTAATTTTAAGGCTTGTTGGATTTGAAAACAACATGCTCTTTTTAATTGTTGTTGGATTTGTGTATATGTGCTCGTCAAAAATGAAGTAGTAAAGAGTAATTGGATGGTCAAAATTATTTTCATATTCAAAATCGTAGTATATTCTAAACATAAGATTAAGTTCTTTGTAATTTTTAATGAAAATACAATTTTCGTCACTAGAAAAAGCTGCTGTTTCTTTTGGAGCCAACGTCACACCATTATGGCCGTTAGATCCCCCAAAGAGAACAATTTTATTGCATAAGAGTTGGAAAACGAGAAACATTTTATGTTGGCAAAAATTTAAAAATCTCCGTTACAAAAAATCTTACTTTTCTAAATAGAGGACTCTCGAAAATATTTACAAAATTTGAATTCTAAATTTCACTTTCTTTTAATTTTTTTTAGTCGCAAAATTTACTATTAAATCGTAAGTTGCCACAAAGAATCCTATATGATGAAGAAAGGAGTGCAATGAGAAAATAAACATTTTCAAGTGTCGGAAATTATTTTTATTTTATCACAGTTTTTTAAAATATTTTTTATTTACTCCTTAATTATCATGCTTTTCTACATGCAATATAATTATTAGAAATAATTAACAATAAGGGACAAATAATATTAATATGGTAATCCCTCATTAAATAACAAAAAAATCAAAATTCGAATAGAACTATTTGCAAATGAATACACATCCAATTTTCATAAATAATTTTTATAATCAAAGAAATATGTTATAGACCGAAAATAGATTTTTTCGGTTTTCTCTTCAAATAATTGAAAGAATGATACTATTATAGGTTTATTATATTATATAGCATATAATCATGCTATAGCCGAAAATTATAAGTTTTGAGAAGATTGAATATAACACAAATAAATTTGAATGTAAGTTAAATTGCTTGTTGTTTTTAATAGCTATTTAATGAGAAATCCAATATTGCAAAATTCAAATTGAATGATTGAAAGAACAGAAAAAGTCATTCTTTTCAATTTCGAATATGTTTCATTGTATTTATAATTATATGGCAAATAAGATATTTAAACTTGATTTTTGAAGGAAAATTCACAAAATTGAATAAATTCAAATAATTTTTATTCAAAAATAAACTAGTTATTTGAGTTTAATACTAATTATCTATTCAAACTACAAAGTTTGTAATTTAAAATATTTTGTGAGATCAGATTGAATTAATTCAAGGTTCTTTTCAATTAATATTAATGACCATATTACACATTTTCGAACATTCTAAACCAAATATATAAAAATGGGAGACGAATGTTAAATTTGCTAGACATGGGGGAGTTGTCTGCAAAGTTTTAGCTCTTATCTCTAACAAAAAATTAATTTTTAAAAAAATGACCGAATACGTTTCACAGCGAGAAAAAAATAAAAGGCAAGATAGAATTTTCTAGACATAAAGAAGTTGTTTACCGAGTTTTAGCTCTTATCTCTAACAAAAAATTAATTTTTAAAAAAATGACCGAATACGTTTCACAGCGAGAAAAAAATAAAAGGCAAGATAGAATTTTCTAGACATAAAGAAGTTGTCTACCAAGTGTCAGCTGTTACTTCTTCTCAATACTGATATAAAATAAAAATCTTTATTATTTATTTAACCTTTATTGTTTCATTAAACTTCATTTATTTTATATTATAGTTTTATTCTTTTAGCTACTTGTAAAATAATCTAATTTTATATCATCATTTTACCGGATTATTCTTCAGTGCATCGATTGTGTATCTAAAATAATATCATTATCCTTATTCTGTTTTTTCCAAAATTCTTTTAAATATCTTTTTTGGTTAGATTACTTTATACTTTTTACTTTTATTTTTTAATTTCAAAAAAAAATTTGGTGATTGTTCTATTCTGTTACAATGTGCATTATCATATTCTAATGAATTATTCATTACATACATTTAAAAAAACTTGTTAAAAATGAAATTAAAAAATTATGTTTATTATTACGCTGTGAATGTGTCAACAGCGGTCATGCCTGTATCTGTATCCCATATTTGCCACAACCTTTCTGTATCTGCATTTGTGTATTTCGGTTTCAGCTGATACATTTGATTTGGCGTGTAATTTGTTCCAGTTAATGGATTAATTGGGAGATCTTCATGCGGTGTGTTATTATTGTACTCCCAAATAAAGGCAGGAATAGCCTGAATGCTTTGGCAGCGCTCCAATGTCGGCCAGAATCTCTCAATCTTCCCATTTTGGTAGGGAGAATGAGAGTCTGTATGCCGCCATTGGACGCGCCAAAGATCAAGTAGATCTTGAAAGGCGCCCCTATTTTCTGAACCGTTGTTGGTCCAGAAACAATAAGGGGCGCCAAATTCAATGAAGGCGGAAGCCGCAACGTTCACTGTCGTCGCTGCTAGCATATCTGGTATTTGTATACACGCTAGGACTTTGCGGCTAAAATCGTCGATTATGCCATAAATATACTGGCCACAAACACCCCTAAAATAATGAACATCTGCATGCCAGATAAGATTGGGTGAAAGCGCCCAATATCTTACTGCTGTTTCTGGCCCGGCATGCTCTAATCGCGTCTTGGTGAAATGATTTTCTTTGAAGTATCTGCGTACTTCTCTATAAGATACATCAATTTGTTGTAATTTCAAACGTTTCCATTGTTTTGTTTGACCACAGGGAAAGGCCCAGTGGTCATGTATCACAGCAAGAGCTTTGATTTGGTCGTAGGGATTGACCATACGACCTTTCTTGCCTTTAGGCAATGGGATATTCTGTAAGCTAAATTGATTTTGTAAAAAAGATTTTGAAACATCTAAATATTTGAAATCATTTGATTGAAGGGTTGGGGTGATGGGAACATGGGTGCAAGCTTCTTCCCATGTCATTTTACCTTCTTCAATCTGATTGGAAATACCAATTAGGTAAATTCGATCGACATACCCTTTGTAAGGATTCATTCTAATGAAGTACGTTAACAATCAAAATATTCTATAAGTGTCTAGTATGGAATTCAAAAGAATAAAGAAAATGGTAACGTAAATAAACGTATTATGAAATAATTTATAATTAAAATGAAAAAAAGAAAAAATAATAATTAAAGTGACTGGAAATGAAAATGAAAATCAGTGTACAGTTTTATTTTTTTCTCGCTGTGAAACGTATTCGGTCATTTTTTTAAAAATTAATTTTTTGTTAGAGATAAGAGCTAAAACTCGGTAAACAACTTCTTTATGTCTAGAAAATTCTATCTTGCCTTTTATTTTTTTCTCGCTGTGAAACGTATTCGGTCATTTTTTTAAAAATTAATTTTTTGTTAGAGATAAGAGCTAAAACTTTGCAGACAACTCCCCCATGTCTAGCAAATTTAACATTCGTCTCCCATTTTTATATATTTGGTTTAGAATGTTCGAAAATGTGTAATATGGTCATTAATATTAATTGAAAAGAACCTTGAATTAATTCAATCTGATCTCACAAAATATTTTAAATTACAAACTTTGTAGTTTGAATAGATAATTAGTATTAAACTCAAATAACTAGTTTATTTTTGAATAAAAATTATTTGAATTTATTCAATTTTGTGAATTTTCCTTCAAAAATCAAGTTTAAATATCTTATTTGCCATATAATTATAAATACAATGAAACATATTCGAAATTGAAAAGAATGACTTTTTCTGTTCTTTCAATCATTCAATTTGAATTTTGCAATATTGGATTTCTCATTAAATAGCTATTAAAAACAACAAGCAATTTAACTTACATTCAAATTTATTTGTGTTATATTCAATCTTCTCAAAACTTATAATTTTCGGCTATAGCATGATTATATGCTATATAATATAATAAACCTATAATAGTATCATTCTTTCAATTATTTGAAGAGAAAACCGAAAAAATCTATTTTCGGTCTATAACAATAATCAAAGAAATATTAAACATTTCATATACATAATAAATGATTTTTTTGCAATTTTTTTTAAAATTATAGTATGAGTGTTCCATATTAAGTTCTGTCAAAATGTAAGCTATTCAATTTTATCGTCGGGGGAAGTATCACAAATCTATCAATTTTTTTGTAAAAGTATACAAAAACATATGGTGTTCAATTAGTTTATAATAATATAAATATTAAGATTATCCAAAATAAGAAAAACTAGGTTTTGAGAACACTTTTGAGATGATAATCAAAATATTTTGATTGAAAAATAATATATTATTTATCAGATATAGAATGGATTTTTTCAAATTTAAAAATTCTGAAAAATAAACAGTTTTGTAAAGTAAAAAAAATGAACGAAAACTCGAGACCTCGTATTCCAAATGAATGGGTAAGATATATGTATGAAAAACTTGAAAGTGGTGAGTAAGGATGTCAATTTGGAAGAAAAGTGAGAAAATTTTGATTGTGAACTCATCTCTAATATTTTGGCTCCTTAATATATTTGAATCATGATCTTTGAGAAGAGTTCTCAAAAGTATTCACAAAAGCTATTTTTCCTTGAAATTTAAAAATCCTGTTTATTATATATTACCGAATTCAATTCCCTACATATTTCAAAATATTCTATGAGCATTTCAATTTTTGAAAAAACATATTTTTTCCAAATATATTTATTATCATATTTCTAATAATATTTCCTAAAGCGTCACTTTTACTTCCTCGATGATTATTTCCCTCTCAAAAAATTCAATAGCTTACATTTTGACAGAACTTAATATGTAACATGAGAGCAATCTGTATATTCAGTAATAATATCGGAATGTATTAAAACTGGAAATTCGAATGGTATAAAAGAAATTTATATCAGCTTGACTATATAGATAAATATGCTTATGAAATTACTCCTCATATCTCAATAAGTGAAATTGTGGCCTATTCTTTTTTAGAAAAACACCTCATAATATAAAAATTTGAAGAATATTCCAGTATCACCTGACAATACGAGCACAATCATAGCATTTTAATGAGATATAAAAATTTATTAACATTTTGAGCGACATAGACTATGCATGAGAAGATGGATATAAAATGCATTGGATATTAAATAAAACAGAATCAAAAATACTCACATCTAACAAAGAATTTCACTCAAAATGATGTAAAATCTTGAAGGCGGCACAATTTTTTGTCACTTTTATGATTTTCTCAATTCAAAATCTAAACTTGAGATATTAATTATTTGACATAAATCATAATGCTTGGATCCACAGTAAATCAAAATATAAGTTTTCATATTGAAGATTAAATTGATTCTCCTTTATACATAATATTGATGCTTCTTCTTCACCAAGGATTTCATGTCAAGTTATTGTTCATGTTAAATTTAAAATTACAACGAAATACTTTATTATACTTATAAAACAAATAAAATAAATACAAACATATATATTAAATGGCATCTTCTTCGAGAGTAAGTTTTTCATCGTTATCAATTTGATTAATTGTTGAATATGGAGTTGTATTCTCTCCACGTGATTTAATATTAAGTCTGTTTCTTTCATCTTTCCTTGTTGTAACAATCGGAGAAATGAAATCTAATATTAACGCAATAATATGCATTTCTTCAGCAATAAGGAATGATAGAGTAATGGGTAAGTCATTAAACAACTTTCCGGAGAAAAGACCATTGAAGGCCAATGAAATTAATGAAATTGGATAAAAAACTATTGAATAAATGCTAAATCCGAAAGGATTAATGATGAAATAAGATAGATAATATGAGAATGCCTTACTGAATATCCCTGTCATAGCAGGAATTATAAAATTCCCTGATTTATTTGAAAATGATTCATCCATGATCCGAAATTGGAGTGGATCAAATATTAACAGTAAAATTACTATAAATACAGCACTTATAAGATACTTAGAAAGAGGAACTACATACGGATCCAAATGTATTATTAATTCTGATGTAAATCTCTCTCCAAATGCGTAAACAATGTGTGCTACAAGTAAGGCAATAACGGCGGTAAGTAATTGAATAAGTTCGTGATCTTTAAACGCTTTAATTGAATATAATGAAAGTGAAGTAATAAAACCAGCAGCCGAAAAGGCCATAGATAGTAATTTTCTACGTGGAACTACCTCTTTGTATATACTAAACATGTTGGCTAGGTTTGTGAAAAGTGGAATCAAAGGAAATGATAGAGATACTACAGCTGGAGCAATATGACCGACTGAATAATTGATGAGTATAATTGGTAATGCAACTGTTGCTAAAGAATTTAAAATTAAGTAATGTAATTCACTAATAAAGAGAGATTTTGATCCTAAGAAACTTGTAAACGCTTTTTCATTAACAAAGAAAATGACAAGTGTTGCTATAAAGCTTATCGCCGCTGCAAATATAATTTGCATTAGACTATATCCGAGAGCTGTGAAGTCTTGGAACCGAAATGATGAAAGTGGCGTATCAATTCCTTTGGCAAGCGTAGTAAATAGAAAAATTAGCATGTGAGAAATCTTATAGATTATCATCAAAAAGTTCTCAACCTAAACTAAACAAAACAATATAAAAACTTAATAATAATCTTTATTAGTCCTAAGATTCATGCCAATATGACTGGATATTCTTCTATCTTAATCTCACATTGATGAATTGGTATAGTTGGAATTATTAAGTATCAATGATACTATCATATTGAACTATGGTTAGAATTCTATGAAAGAGATATAATTTAACAATTTTCTTTTCGATAGTAGGAAAATCTTCAAATTTAGATTCATTTCGAAAATTCATAGATATTCTATTAGGAATGCTAGCAGGTGAGTCTTGGATGATTCTTAAATATTAGAGTCGGTATTTTTAAAAGTGAGTCTGCGAATTCTAATTTAAGTAGGTAGATAAACTAACATGCATAGACTTTTATATTATATTAATACCATTATTGCAGCGTGGTATTCAATAATTGAGGAACTTCGCTTCATGGAAATTTGACAATTTATAAATAATCCTGCAAAACTTTTTGAGGAATTTCCCTTCATGAAAATGTGGATCGATGGTCCTCTTAAACTAGAAGACGTAGAATGTTTCAAGGCATCTTTAATTAATATGCCGGATGAACAATCTCGGGAATACGTAGAACGTTTTAATCAAGTTTTATTTCAACAAAGAATAGATCAGTTAATGCTTATTACAAACAGTGGCTAAATATATGGCCACAAGGAACACCTTTGCACTTTTTCGCCGCTTTGAATACCTATAAACTCAGTGCCCCAGAAATGGAAACAAATTTGAGGGATGAAGGATTCAAAAGAGTTCTAATTGCCTTTGTCAGCGCAGAAACTGACAAGCTTAAACAAAAAATTCAAAATTGATAAAGAGTTGTTTTAGTTCAACTTACATTCATTTGAGCTTCTTTGTAGAGTTGACATGTTTGCGACCAATTCATGTACTGAAATCGCATCTCCACGATGTTATTTAAGTTTGTCAAAAGGTAAACAATAGTATTGAATATTAAAAAGTGGTTATTTTTGAGAGAACTCCTGAGAGTATGCGGTTTAGTATTTTTTGTGTTTTTTAATAATTGTCTGATTGTGTTATTTGGATCCAATAGATTTTAGATAATCTCTTACATTATCTTTTGCAAAAGAGAGTGCAGTTTTTCCATCATTATCCTTTGCTTCTTTATTAGCTCCAACAGAAATAAGATATTGAACAACTTCAAGATGACCTTTATATGATGCCCACATGAGTGAAGTACGTCCATCTTCATCCTTTGCTTCTTTATTAGATCCAATAGAGATAAGATATTTAACAACTTCAAGATGACCTTTATATGATGCCCACATGAGTGAAGTACGTCCATATTCATCCTTTGCTTCTTTATTAGCTTCAACTGAGTTAAGATATTTAACAACTTCAAGATGACCATGATATGATGCTAAAAGGAGTGGAGTCCATCCACTATTATCCTTTGCTTCTTTATAACAGCCACATTCGATGAGTGATTTGACAAGTTTAAGATTTCCTTCTTGACTTGCTACTTGAAGAATATTTCTATCATTCGAATTTGTCTTTTCCCAAAGTCCTTCTTCACAAGCTTTTGAAATCATTTCACGATTTCCTTTCGCAGAAAGTCCATCAAGGAATTTGTAAACGCTTCTAAAGTAACATGTTTTCTTAAGTTCTCCCGAAATATTGCGATTTTCATTAGTTTGAGTGACTGTAGTTCCTTTGGCAGCATTTTGTAATTGATTTTGTAATGAAATTAATTTTGCTTGAAGTTTTTTGATTACCTCTGTAGACTCACGTGACTCTTTGTCCTTTTGATTTAAAACATCAAATATCCCATCAAATATATTGAATTTCATATATTTTTTGACAGATGTAAGAATAGTAATGACATCCTCGTGATTTTGGATAGTAACGTGTGCTTTCCGTGTACAGATATATAATTCGTTGGAATGAATAGTCGATGAAGACTGTTTGAGAAGAGTAATGTACTGATCAACTGTCAAACGCGAATATTTCATGATTTTTTTGATATCTTCTATATTGAATGTATAAAAAAGTTTTCATTGGTAATATAATCACTTATATGAGCAGCAATATATTCGTAATTCAGATTCATCGTCTGAAATGTAATAAATTTGTAAACTTCAGAAATTCAATCAAGAAATTTTTAAAAGAAAGTAAATAATTGAGAACAACTAAGACTAAAATACATTGATTACTTTTGATAAGTGCTAAAATAATTATGAACAATCCAATCATTTTCCTATAACATTTAGTTGAATAATAAAATGCATGTAAATTTAAAGAAAGAAAATTTTTTTTTGAAACAAACATTTTATAAAGGTGCCGATAGATAGTAAGAAGCAGGCATAACAGGTTGGAACGCAGCAGGTTCAATTGCTTGAGGAACTTTATTTTTGTTAACTCTTGGGTATCTGCAGTCATCAACGAAATCATCTTTATTTCCCTGCATGTAATCACTTGATGAGAATGTGATTCCGTAGAAAAAGATCATTCCGAAACACGTCGCGATTGCAATCAAAAGAACAATCACTAGCATGAAGAACAGCACTCCAAGAATAATGATTTGTCTACGTGTTGACATGTTTGCAACCAATTCATGTACTGAAATCGCATCTCCACCTTCTGCAAACGGGTTTATCATTCTCGTGAGTGTTTTCGGGTACAAATCAGAACAGTTTGTTAGACATGTATCTGTTATATCTATACTTCCTGCATTTGGAGGTATCAGGACTTTAAGATGAACAAAGAGAGGACCGTTGAAGTATTCTTGTGTTTCATCACAAACAGACATATTTGGGTAATAATACAAATCAACTTTTATCTGTCTTGTGAATGGATTTGTCACTGTCAACTTGTGTTTGCCAATTCTAGAATAAAAGATACATGTACTCCATGCTTTCTTGAAAGTATAATTAAATTGGCTGTTGCTGTGTCCGAATTTTAATGATGATGAAAGTTCTGACGTAAGAACGAAATCATTGCATCGGAATGGGAAATCAGTGACATCAGTGATGTTCTGTTGTGTGTACGCGTGATACAAAGTGCTCTTGGAGTTGACAGAAATGATGATGTAGCCTGGTTCGTTTTGGAAATTGTATGTAAAGTTGTTTTGTGGCAAAACTTGCATCAAAACGTTCTTCGATGAGTAAACAATGGCGGAGATCTCACATGGTTGGCCGGGTAATGAGTTCCAAATGTGGAAAAGTGTGTCTGTTGAAGTAAAAATCAAAATTAAAGATTTGTCAAATGAAAAACTTGAAAAAGGGGTATCAATGACGATGTTATCTGTTTGACTGACTGTTTGGAATGTTTCCTGTTCGTTCCAAACAGATGAAAAAGGAAGAGTCAAAGATGAGCCTTTCAGAGACATTGTTAAGTCATTTAGAACGAAATACGTGCACGCTGTAACACCGGATTCTTTGTGGGGAACAATCATGAAGATTGAAGAAGGAAAAACCGTACTTCCTGATTTTGTCAAATATGTCCTTTTATCTGGACGTACAACGTAAAGATTATCCGACCCATCAGCTACGTAGTCTATTCGTATCGATTGGACTTCATCAGATGCGTATAAAAGACAGGATTTTGAAATATTGCTGGCAACTGAGAATTTGCTCCATGTGGATTGTTCGCCTCCAAGGGAAACAACTCTCTTAAGCTGTCTGTTGATATGGATTGTATTGCATTGAGAATCTTTCGGAATGGCAATAAAATTAAAAATTTCTTTCTTAATACTCGATAAAGGATGAACGATTAATAACCGCTCATCTTCATCGAATTGAATTACTGTGCTCTTTGGGTCTAATTGTTCAAAAGTTTCTGGTTTTATCAAAAAGACCGTAGCACCTATACGATAAGGTATTGATAGTATAGCTTTTGTCTGCTTTTTGAGGCTTAGCAACACGGGGAACGAAGTTAAAGTTCCAGCAGACGTTAATGTTTTTTCTGATTTTAGATTTTCTATGATTTGAGTGGTTAATGGCTCGATTTTGCTGAAGAATATATATTCTGGCTTGTAGTTCGAATTAAATAAGAAATGTTGCGAACCGTCATTTCCGGTGAATAATGTATGAAAAGGATGCCAAACGTTTATTTCTTGGAGATAAGGGATTAGGTCATCGTTGGGATGTGTGAAGACGCAACTCGGTTGAATTAAATTGGGATCAATGATAAATTGGATTGAAAAAATTAAATCTTCTAAAAAATAAAACGTAATTTGAGAGTTATGAGGAGTACTTAGTACGTAACCACGCTGATTTGGTGGTATTATATCAGTTGTTGAGCCGTCGATGTTAACAGTACACTTCCATCCTTTGTAATCATAAACAAAGAATTTAAAGGTAGAATTAACGATCTCGAAACTGATTGAACTATCACGCGCTGATGATGTGGTGTACACATGAGATGTGTCAATCAAAATGGATGAACAGAGCACGGATAGAAAAACAAGCATTTAAATATCAAATCTAATTGAGGGGCTAAAATCGGTACAAATTTCATTAGATTTTCAGAAGGAGCTTATCGTTTGAAATGACGTTCTTAACAAAGTATTGGATTTGTATAGTTAATTAAAAATACTTGAAATAATCCGAATTATGTTTTCAAAAAGTTATCTTCCCAATTTTTTTTTTCAAACTCCCATTCAATCGATTCGATGACGCACACTTTTGACACTGTGATTATAATTATAACAGTTTCATCCTGAAATGAGTGTGTTTCTGAGGTTAACGAGTATAGAAAATCCGAATAATCGGCATATTATTAATTGATTTGGTTTTTCATTCAAATAAATAAGGGAGTAGATTTCATTATATAATGCGATATCAGGGATTGATAATAACATCTTAGTTTTGAACTTTCAAGCTTAAGCTTAAGTTTTGACCCAACTTTTAACGATTAAACCTTAGATAAATGAGATTAATCGGACTCAATAGAGCATGCAATATCTAATCATTATATGATTTTGGATAAGTTTATCAATATCGTAACCAGCGATTAAAAATTAAAATGAATACTTTAAAATATCAATGCATATTTAAATAGATACTGATTTTGACATCATTAGTTACTTTAACAAATGAATTATTCGAAAAATCATTATATAACTTAAATTTCTATCATAATTAAGTTTTATTTAACATTATAAAGATGTCCACAAGACTAAAGCTAATGATGTGCACATATTCTCTTCTAAATGGTATCGTTCTAAATCTCGAATTGCGATCAATTAATTGATCAATTTTATGAATCAAAACAGATATGATTTTATCATCATAAGCAAATGTAATAATAAGCACATCAAATAAATCATGCGTTGTAATCATTTTATAGAAAATTTTGAAATATTCTGGTGAAAAGAGTTTAGATAGTGATAAATGCTAAAGTTAAGATTATACTATATATCAAAAGTGTATGAATCTGTATGTTCCAAGTATTCTTTTGTACCTGGTGTCATAACAAATGTTGTAATTCCGCCTTTAAGAAATGTTACAGGGTCTTTATCATCTTTATTTAATTCTCGAGCTACTTTCGAAATTTCATGAGCAGCATTTACTGATCGAGCTCTTCCAAATTTGCAATAACAGACTAATTTATCGTATTTATGATTAAGCAGTGTGTTTTTCAAGAGATCTGCAATTGAAGCATCTGTAATTGAAAAGTAAGGAAAATGAATTGCACCTTTAATCACTCCAAACTCGCCATAATCAGTGTCTCTGACATCCACAACACCAATTTTCTTATTCTTTTTGAAATGATCAAGCAATCCTTCAGCGCTTATACCTGTGGGTGCAAATTCTCCCATTTTTTCCATCACTTCTAAGGTTGATTTTTGAGAAGGGGAAAAGGTGTCACTTTTCTTTCTCTCAATTTTTCCCTCAACCTTATTACGATTATTTTTTATTCAAAAATTTTGTATTTTACATTTAAGGGTGCACCCGCATGTACGTTTATTTGAGAGGAGGAGGATTACCCTCTCAATTTTGAAAGCTTCGTTAACTTAATATCTCGATGAATATTGGATTAAAATTGAATTTGCCCATACCAATATATCTGATACAATATCCTTAAGTTTTACTAAAAAGAATTTTTTAAAATCCCTGCAGATTCGGGGATTTTTAAATTTTTTGATTTTTTTCGCAAATTTTTCGAAAAAAAAATATTTTCAGAAGAGCCTTAACGGCTAAGTTTTATGTTTAATGTTGAGTATCAAAAAGAATGGGCATCTAGGGTTGTTAGATTCCCGACGATAGGTGTCTTGGAAGATTTGCCTGGTGTCATCATAGTGTCTTTAAATCAAAAATTTTATTTTGGAGTTAGTTTTATTGATTTTTCAATAAAAAACATTTCTAAAACAAGAAAATAAAACGATAAAATATTTATATTTTATATAAGGATCTTATATATTTAAAATAAATATCATTTTATTTTTTTCATTGGTGTCTGTCAAACCATAATACACTATTCAAAAATTCAATGTGTCTTGCGGCTTCAAAAGACACCTTCAAATTGAACGATAGCACAGACACTATTGAATTTTACCCATTTTATTTAGTTTTTACCCTTTTTATTTTTAAGAATTAATGACTGAAACAGCCGTTTTGCTATGACCTCAATCACTTTTATTTATTATTTTAAATATTATTTAATTTTATTATTTGAATAGGCCAACTTATATTTGAGAAGCTCAATTTGAGACCACTTAATACATTGAAATATCATAAATATTGAAATATTAAAAAGTGTATTTCAAAATATTGAAATTATAAAAATTTATAATACTGAAATTGAGACAAATTAATAAATTCAATGTGTTTTTTTTGAAATAACTCTCAAATATTATTTTTTTGTTTATTTAATGATGAATAAATATGATTGCTTTAGTCAATCATAAAAACTAATTTAAGTTTAAAATAATGAAAGGATAATTTGATCGTTTTTTAAAATACAATTATTTTTGATGATTTGCAAGAATCTTTGAAAAGAATATAATATAGGTTCTATTTTTGTAAAATTTATCCAAATCATGTATTACATAAATTACCATTAAAACGATGAAAGAACCAAAAAGTGTGTTTTGTGTTTTGTTGTTGCGTGTTGGATGCGGGATCCTGTTATTTCCGAAATCGACAAAAAATTTGGAAATTTAATTTCAGAAATCGAAATTATATTAATGTTTTTAATATTCTTATATCAAAAGGATTAAAGTTCATTAAGAGAAAAACAATTCTTCTTCTTCAATCTATTGGCGCATTTATTTCTACACGCCAATAAGGAAGGGAAAATTATAAGACACCATGGTGTCTTCAAAACGCTAATTTTTGATATTTTTAACAACCCTATGGGCATCTGATATAGCCATCATATATCCCAGAAGCAAATAAAAATTCTGACTTTTTAAGCATAAAAAAAAGGTAGTCTCACGAGAAAACTGACGGTAAAAATTCGATGAAACCAGGTGCATTGTATAGTACATATATGTGGTAAATAAATGTCGATTAGCTTTGTAAAAAATATCCCACAGTTTTTGAGATCTTGAAAACGGCCATTCAAAAAGTCGAAAATTTTCGCGAGATGTTAATGGGCAAGACAGTTTTTCGACAAATAAATCGTAAACATGGGAATTAAAATAAGGCGTTATATTACATATATGGTAAAGAATATGGATGTGAAGAGCGTTAGTAGAATGGAAAGACTTTGAAATTTTAAAAAATTTATCTGGACTAAAAAATTATTTGATTATAAAAAACATATTATATATCAATTGCTATATAGAACTATCATAACAGATTTTGGAAAAGCCGCAAATCCCCAAGTTGGAGAATTCATTAAATACTAATTATTCAGCTTTTTATCAGAAAGGAAGGTAGTGTAGTGGTTGGGAACCCTATGCTCTTTTTGAATCTAAAAGGCAACTGTTCAAATCATAACATCTTTGTTTTTTTTTCTTATTCTGCCATTATTGTTTTTCCTTGTTATGATTCAAATTAAAAATATTTTAGTAAAGGTATTTTGGACATCATTTTTTCACATTGTCTCAATGCAAATGTTTGAAAATTTTGTAGGCAATATGACAACTCTTTCAACATTTGTTCTCTTTTATTAACTCAAACAGATTTAGGATCTAATTTCATGCCTTCGAAGACATTTAAACCATCTTCAACATAATTTATTGACAAATTGATAACAATTACTCATGAATGTCGTAGATTTAATATCCTGTCACTCAGCAACAAATTCGGGTTCAATAACAAAGCTCAGTAAAAACTTTCCAGAAATTCTCCAATTTATTTTAGTGTCTTTTTGCGTCATTACGGCTGCATTTTCTTCTGCATCTGAACGCTGTGTTTGGAAGAAGACGAAATACAGAAACTTTCAACACAAGTAATCAGATTTTCTTGTCTTTCATGTTAAAATGCTTCATCTCGCTAGGTATACGTCATTTATTGGATGGATTGTTAGCTTTGTGTCCAAATAGCAAAAAAAAGTATTAATTTAAATTTCGCATTTTGCATAAGTATACGCTTTAATTTATATCAAAACAGATTTAGATAGCTTAAAACAATATAGTTTACTCATAAATACATCTTGATAATTCACTTCTTCAATTTTCATAATCTTATATCCTGACCTATATCCTCTTATAAACCATATTTCTACTGAGATCTTCTTAAAGCATCTTTTTATCCCTATCTACGCCTCGAAACCCTATTTTTCCGGCGGAATATGAATCTTCGGGTCTCGCTGATTCGATTTCTGCAGTCAGATCGTAAAAATACCCACTACATAGCCTGATAATCTCAATTTAAGTTCCTTAATTTTTTTGAAAAAAAAATTAAAACTCCCTTATCAAACATCATGCTCATTTTTACGAATTTCATTTTTCCTTTAAGTTTAAAATATACGCTTTTTAGCATGTTTATAATACATTTTCAATTTACATTTACATTTTTATTTTTGAATTGTTTATTTATATTTCCGTTTGAACAATAATATTTATTGAAAATTGTGAGAGAAACGGATATAATAAAAAACACCATACAACAAAATTCACTTTTTTTCATACTTACGCGGATCACTCCTTTTCGGCCCAATATGCCGGAAATGATAAAACTCTCAGATCTAGTTGCTAAGATCCAAACTCTCGACTCTCAAATCTATTTCCTCAGATATTGTTGCTAAGATCTACTTCCTCAGATCTTGTTGCTAAGATCTACTTCCTCAGATCTTGTTGCTAAGATCTACTTCCTCAGATCTTGTTGCTAAGATCTAAACTCTCGACTCTCAAATCTACTTCCTCAGATCTTGTTGCTAAGATCTACTTCCTCAGATCTTGTTGCTAAGATCTAAACTCTCGACTCTCAAATCTACTTCCTCAGATCTTGTTTCTAAGATCCAAACTCTCGACTCTCAAATCTACTTCCTCAGATCTTGTTGCTAAGATCTACTTCCTCTTGATCTTGTTGCTAAGATCTACTTCCTCAGATCTTGTTGCTAAGATCCAAACTCTCGACTCTCAAATCTACTTCCTCAGATCTTGTTGCTAAGATCTAAACTCTACTCTCTCAGATCTTGTTGCTAAGATCTAAACTCTCGACTCTCAAATCTATTTCCTCAGATCTTGTTGCTAAGATCTAAACTCTCGACTCTCAAATCTACTTCCTCAGATCTTGTTGCTAAGATCGATCTATTATACTCAATTTTACTTAAGCAATATAGATCACCTTTATTATGATTCTCTTTATCTGTACTTGTTTAAAATTAAATTACATCATAAAGATCTAATTACAAATTATTTAGAATTTTGAAATAAAACCAGTATTTTATCAAATGCTTTGAGATTAATGCATTCAAACTTAAAAAAAAAAGATATATTCAGATCAATTTCAATATTATTGATTTTTTAATGTAAAAACTATGTCTACATAGATCTCAAACAATTTTATTAGATACTCTTTTTCCCAATTTTTTTCAAAATCTCTTTTTACATATCAAAAATTGTATTTTTCAATTTCATTTTTATTTTTTCCATATTTTTTTTGGAATTTGGATATGCGTCCAAAGTAGTTATGTCATTAGAAAAATATTAGATATCTGAAGAGAAAATGATAACTTAGAGAGTTTTAAAGATTTTATTTTCGAATACAAATATAGACCTCAGAGGAATACATTCTAAATAAATTTGTATCTGAGGGTGAATAAATAAGAACAAAATTTAAAGGGTTAGCATAAATAATGTAGAAATTAAGATTGGAATTTAAATTTAATACAAAATTAAAGGGAATGAATTTGCGATTAGTAGGGTATGGCAAATGGATTGGGAAACATTGGTTACACATGAAAATTATCAGATGTAAGAATTTGGTGCAGATATTTTAAAAATGAGATCTGAGTGCTTAAACAATATCTCAAAATTCAAATTTTCCAAATGAAAATTTGGAAAATTCCCAAAATGCAGAATCAACTGATGATTTTCAATCATTAATAACGCCAATACAAGAAGATCATTTTCCTTCTGCCAACGAACTAAAACAATGGTTTGATATTGCCCATGATGTTTTAATTAAGTATGTCCGTCTGCCACCCTGAGAAATCAACATCCAGAAGCAATTGATGAAGAAAGAGAGACAAAAAAGCAATTTATCTATTACAAAACTTAGACTTTCCTAAGAAATAAAATTATTTAATTTATTCTTGTTTGTTTTTTAATTAAACATGTATATTTATTAACATTTCCTTTTTTAATACCTTTCCAACTTCTATTAGTAACAAACACATAACTAATTTGAAGATTTAGCGTTATGAAGAAGTATC